ATGTATGTGTAAATATATATATATATGTATGTATGTATGTATGTGTAAATATATATATATGTATGTATGTATGTATGTGTAAATATATATGTATAAATACATGTGTAAATATATATGTACAAATATATATGTATAAATATATATATGCATAGATATATATGTAAAAAATAAATATGTATAAATATATATGTATGTGTGTATGTATGTATGTATGTATGTATGTATGTATGTGCAAATATATATGTATAAATATGTATGTATGTATGTATGCATGTATGTATGTATGTATTTATGTACGTATGTATGTATGTATGTATTTATGTACGTATGTATGTATGTATGTAATTAATGTATGTATGTATGTATGTATGTATGTATGTATGTATTAATGTATGTATTAATGTAATGTATCTATGTATGTATGTATGTATTAATGTAATGTATGTATGTATGTATGTATGTATGTATGTATGCATGTATGTATGCATGTATGTATGGTATGTATGTATGGTATGGTATGGTATGGTATGGTATGGTATGGTATGGTATGTATGTATGTATGTAATGTATGTAATGTAATGTAATGCATGTGATGTATGTAATGCATGTAATGCATGTAATGCATGTAATGCATGTAATGTATGTAATGTATGTAATGTATGTAATGTATGTAATGTATGTAATGTATGTAATGTATGTATGTATGTATGTATGTATGTATGTATGTATGTATGTATGCCAATGTATGTCAATGTATGTCAATGTATATATGTATGTCAATGTATGTATGTATGTCAATGTATGTATGTATGTCAATGTATGTATGTATGTCAATGTATGTATGTATGTCAATGTATGTATGTATGTCAATGTATGTATGTATGTATGTATGTATGTCAATGTATGTATGTATGTCAATGTGTGTATGTATGTATGTATGTCAATGTATGTATGTCAATGTATGTATGTATGTATGTATGTATGTATGTATGTATGTATGTATGTATGTGTAAATATATGAATATGTGTGATATCCATTGGCAATATTTACATAGACTGGTAACATAATAGCAACCATGATAATCACAATAAAAATGACAATTGTAATGATGAAACATATGTGATAATAACAATAAGGATACAAAGAAAAACAATGACAGAACAATAAACATGATAATAATATAATAGTACCATACGAACATGAATCATTTAGAATTAATATATAAGTTCATTAACATTAATTAACTACATCCATCATTTGTACATCATATACATCCCGGCGGATGGGAAACCGCGCGAGCGTTTTGATTGTTTGCTTCCAGGAGAGTCACAACCACCTGCAATTTACAATATAAAATGCTCTTCCGAACTCTTTGGATAACTGAATTTTGGTTAAAAAAGTGGATGCAAAATCTATTGATTTTTGACAAATCCAGGTAAACATCATGTGCATCAGACGTGGATGCTCAGATTTTTTTTAACACTCTTCGTCGGCTCAGAAAACCTATGCATCACTACCGCACCCAAACCCATACGCAGCGTAGCAACATGTAACGTAGGAAACTATCTCAGAGATACCAGCAGCGTAGCAACATGTCACGTAGTAAGCGATCCCAGAGATCTTAGCAACATGGCAATATATCATGTACGAAGTACAAGGAACGTTAACATGCCCCCCCACCCCACCCCAACCCCAAGACAAAGAGCAATATTCAAAAAAGAAGCAAAACGCACGTACGGTTTTCCAGCCGTAGGCTTATACATCATATACCATCTGGTTATTTAACATAGCCATGGAAAATAGCCCATTTATAGATGGTTTACCTGTGTTTTCCTATTAAATTAAAACATGGTGGATCTTTCCATGGCAAACTGTTAGTCATAACCAGAGGGTAGCAATGAAACATAGCAAAGGGACAATTTCACATCAATTCCCACTAAAACCACCAGCCAGTTGGGTGCGTGGTGAAAAAAAAACAGTAGACCAAACCACCATGGAAAATTTAGCCCATTTATAGATGGTTTACCTCGGTTTACCTATTAAAACATGGTGGATCTTTCCATGGCAAACTGTGGACCATTTATGGACCATTTAATGGCTAAATTCCCATCCAAATCCACCATGGGATCGCCACGTTGAACGGAACACTCAATCGCCCAGCCACTCTTACGGACCGACACCGTGTCGCCCTAGGCGCGGTGGCTGTTTTTTGGGGGTTTTGACCCGGTGGATGGGGGGGGCAGACCGCCTGATGTCTTCGTTTGGGTTTTATGATGTTTTAATATATGATTATATATACATATATATGTTCTATGTGTGTGTGTGTGTGTTTTAATACTTGGATTTGTTCTATGATTTGATTTAGATTTTTTTTTTTTATATGGTTCCTTTCTGAATGGTGGTTAAGCCACCCCCCTTGACAAATAATAGGAGAATCAACTGGGATTGTCATTGTCATCCCAAATCAGGGGAAGTTCATGTAGATATTTGACACCGACCCGACCAGATGCATCGATTGATACCCATTTTTCAGAATACAACTTGCACGAATCTTCATTAAACCCACAATTTTAACCATACAGTACCGTCTGGTAAACATACAAAAAACTATGGAAAATCACCATTTTGTAGCTGTAAATCAACTATTTCTATGGCCATTTCAATAGCTATGTTTGTATGTTTACCAGAGGGTGCTCCTTTTCTATCATGTGTTTGGGAAACTCAATCAACGTATTTTCGCACGGCTTCCCACGGCCAAGAGGGAAGATGCAACCATAGCTCCTGTTGCTCGAACCAAACAGTTGAAACTGTTTAGAATTGTTTCGAAGCATCGTAATGATGGCCAGCCCAATGCCCTACCCTCTGGTTTTTCCGTTTACAGTTTGCGAACTGGAAAATCCCCATTTTAGAATATGTTAGAACCATTTGCCAAATATTACACACTGGTAAACTAACATAACTATGGAAAATCACCATTTTATAGCTGGGTAAATCAACTATTTCTATGGCCATGTTCAACGAACAAAATCCCCATGGATTTTTTCGGGCGGTGGCCCCTCCCCATCCCTGCCATTCCCTGCCGAGGTGCGTTGGCGTCCTGGATCATCACGATGTCGGCCAGGTTGCGGCTGGCATCAGGAGCCACGGAATTGGCACTCAAGCACCTGAAGAAACAGGTGGTACCCTCTGGTTATGTCAACAGTTAGCTATTGAAAATGGCCATTTATAGTGAGTTTTCCCATTAAAATTGGTGATTTTCCATAGTTATGTTAGTTTACCAGAGGGTAACCAAAAAGGGGGCGCGAAGGTTTGGGGAGAAGTCCGTTAGATCTCTTGGGTTTATGATACCCTCTGGTTATGACTAACAGTTCGCCATGGTTAAGCCATGGCCCATAGAAATAGATTGTTTACCTATTAATAGCATGGTGATTTTCCATGGCTATGTTAAATAACCAGATGGTAGTTCCATTGGATTTGCTGATCAATGATAAAATGATACATCACTATAATGATATATAGTTACGATAACTATAACGGTAAAATGATAGTTACATTGATTCTTGGCTTTGCTGGTCCGGCATCCCCCAAAAGAATAAGACACATCTCAAGAAAAGATTTCCCGTAGTGATCCTAGTGGATTTCCCCTTGCAATCACTGGGGCGCCACTTTGTGGCGCTATCCGAGGGCGAGGTAGGGCTAGGATTGTTTGTCCCCAAAAAAATGACACTTTTCACATGTCTTCACCACCCAAATGGATGGTTTTTACCGGCCAAAATGGAGATTGAACTTCACCAGTCCACCAGAGATGTGGTTGAAGCAGCTATTTTTTTGCTTTCCAGGCAACAGAAATGAAGAAACAAACCAACCAAAACAAGGCTGTAAGTACATATACACCCGGCCAAACTGCGGATATCAACATATATCAACCAACAAATCGTGATTTGTGAAGTTGCAGCTGACAACACACAAAAAAAGGGGTTGCAATGATGGGCCGGAAGGAAATACAAATTTGTATTTTAGCTGTATATTCTATGTATATCTATGTATATATTATATACTCAGAGTTGGATTTGCCCGGCACTTATATGAATGACTGGGATTACGGCGCTTTGCATGATAGCACATTGAAAGATAGGACACAAAATAATGAAGAACTTACCCACCCAGGGCTGTGTTCCTAATATCATGGACTTGCCGGGCAGGACGTGACCTGTATATGATGGGGAGGGGCAAAGGATGCAGATAGATAGATAGATTAGACTAGATTAGATCAGATCGGATTGGATTCGATTAGATTCGACTTTGTGGCATTATTGTATGTCAATATAAATAAAGAAATATAATAGAACTAATAAAATAAATGAATAAATAAATAAATATATATATATACAATTATATACACATATTATATATATATATATATCATACTTTCATGGTCTATCACTTTATCATATCTTCTCGGAACAATGTGTGCTTGCATCCTGAGTTTTCAAGGTTTATTGTTGTTTCTACTGGCGTTTTATTACAGCTTCCAATCTTCCACAATGGGTCCCTACCAGTAAAAAATGCGGTTGTTATTGCCAAAGGTCTTCAATCCAGGGTGCTAATGGACCAGTTTACTGATTAAATATATTATTTAATATTATAATATGATATAAATCACAATTGTTGATGGTTAAGAGTTGGTTTTTCATAAGTTTCAATGGTCATCACGGCCCTTCGATTTAATCCTCCATCAATCTCTCGACCTGTCCGAGATGTTGATGGCCATCAGCATGGTGTCATCCACTTCTTGGCCCAGCGCTGCGAAGAGATCTGGGCCGTTTTTGGATGCCGTTGGACTCGTTGGGCCGTTGGACTCGCTGGGAATATCCAGGTTTCCAATATTGGATGCTGATGGATGCTGATGTTTATGATGCATAATATAATTGTTGGACCCTAAATTCTTTACACCATCAATCCTCAAAAAACAGGAGTTTTGTCTGCTTGGCCTATGAATTTGGATGGTATCTCCAAGAAATTCACCAACAAAGTCACCAAATCTGGCAGTGCCCAAAAGGGCCGCTCCCTTCTACGCATGGGCTGAGATTTAAAACTGGTGATTTATAACCTTTGAAACCAGCAACCTGAGTCTACTAATGCGTGGTCACCAGCATGGGGATGCATTTGTTAGCCCTTACCAAGTCAGGCCATTAGCAAATCAAACAGTCAGGGTTGTGTGGAGTCAGGGTTTTGGGATGTTTTGGGGCACCTGAACAAGGCGAGAAATATGTGAGGCCTTGGTCTCGAAACCAAAACCTGACAGAGTCGTCGCATGGGTCGCCATCCCCATGTATTGCTTGCCGGAAATAATGCATTGGTCCCACAAAAAAAAAAACGCGACACTTACACAATTTTGACTAGAGGAATCTCCATATACTGGATAGAAATCACAAACTTTAGTGAAAAAAAACGAACGTTTCTAAATGAATCGCATTTTCTGCACAAGAAAACACCAAACGCTTTGATGTATTGTTTTTGTTCTGCGATACCAATATGACATCCAAAACTACATCTTGTTGTTGTTTTGGAAACGTCCAAGAATTAAATGAGTCTACAGAATTGTGGTATATATATATATGTATAATTTTTTTAAAAAAAAAAGTAATTTGAATGGTAAAGTATGAGGTTTATTATACCATAGATAAAATTGGCCCAGTTTCCCTTTTGGGGTGACTAGTTACAGTTTCAGAAAGCCGTTTTCTGCTTAATGTCAACCCTGGATTAATAAACCATGGTTTATTAATTAGGGGGGTACTCCCCAAATAGTCATCATCTGATACGTTTTTATGGTATTTCACCAATTAAACAACCGTAAACGGGGTTTATTAATCCAGGGTTGACATTAGTTACATTGGATTTGCTGATCAATGATAAAATGATACATAGCTATAATGGTATTCTTATGGGATCTCCATTGGATTCCCATGGGATTTCGGCCTGGGATTTCTAAATCACGGGATGGCCAGTAAGATCACCAGGTCACTTTCGGCCATGTCGGCATTGTACTCCACCAAGACCAGGCAGACACCGGAGCCAACCATGGCCTTGGAGATAAGGCCATGGTGCTTAGAAAAAAAAAGTGCAGTTCGAATCTTAAGTGGAGATGTTGCTCTATAGTTATAAGTTATATGGGCTCTATATGCATACACATATATGTATAAACACACACATGCATATACATATATATATACACATATACATATATATAATATACATATGTATATATATATATATGTATATTTACATATATAATATATGTATATGTATATTCCAATCAACCTGGGGGTTTAGTTCACCATCCCATGGTTATACAGTTTTAGCCATCAGCAGTCCAGGCACAACGAGCACCAGAATGCCGCCCAAGAGCAGCCTCAGGACCCATAGCTACGATGTGGGGCCAAGATAGCTAAGTTGCTTTATAACTATGGTTTATAGGGGATATCCGGGATATATCTATAGTTAGATTGGGTTATAAACATTTATAAACCAACTTGTACCTAGGGGGGCTCACTGTGCACCATAGGTTGACTCATGGCTTAACCACAGTATGGAATTTAACCAACAAAAAATGCTGGTAGAATGGGATGCTAATGGGTGCATAATGGGGATAAATTGGACTTTATTGTGAGCAAAGTGGCGGCGGGACCCAACGATAATCATATCTGACATAAATCCTAGTTATGTCAATCACTGTTAGTCATTAACCAGCAAAGCCTTGTTGTGGGGCTGTCTGAAAGGGGATATCCGGCAATAATATGGCCCTTAGATGGTGCAGATTGGTGACATTGCAGTACCTCTTAAGGTACCTGAAATGGCGATTGAACAAATTTCCTGCGAGAAACATTGATGGCTCAAACTCAATTAGCATCAAAAGTGCTGATTCAAGATGAATCAATCATCAAACATGGAATGAACCACATCTTCAACCCTACCAAAAAAATGTTATATGCAACCTTTTTCTTGGGAAATACATGGGATCCAGTGCCGTTCAGAACGTACCCCGTTCTCCTTCAGGCTTGCCCAGCCGCAGTGGCTGGGCAGTTTGGTATGGTTTGGTTGGAATCCACCACAACTTGGTTCTAAGCCAGATATGAGCAACACATAGAAACACATAGAAACACCACTAACATATCACTAACATGTTCTCAATACCTGGCCTATTAACCCTCACAGAGCTTCAACTTCAAGCCATCTCCAGGTCAACTGTAGCAATCCCTAGGGTTGTTCTTCCCTTGTGCGTGAGATGATGTTTCGATAGGAATTGGTGAATTAGTTGTAGCTATGGCTCACCAAATCTACTTTATAATAACCCCCAGCCCTACGTGGAAAAATTGGAAACCTGCTTTTAGGGAAATCATCAACAATCCTGGGCAAACTGTTCTATCTTTTTGGGGGCCCCTTTAGCGATTGCATCTACGAGCTTCATGTCCGATGTTTGTTGGATTGCCTTATGATTACGTGGCCAGGCTTGGAGACACTGCAAAGTAAAAGTGGCTGGACTGCAAATATCTCTATTCATGGCGAAAGAGTAAACTCAACTACCCATCCAGTCCTTTTCCCCACATCTTTGGTGGCAAAAACCCCTCCAAGCTGGACGTTACCGGCCCGCTCTTACAGCTCAGTTACACCAGAATGGCATAGATGCAACCCATGCAGGACACACAGCAGGTGCAGGTTCGCACAGTGCAATGATCCTGATAGATCAGTGGGAGGCTGTGTTTCCTTCGGGGATAAGAAACAGATGTTGTTTGCAAACTATGTTCACCCCCATTGAAAGAACAATAAATCAATGATAGACTAGGTCCGGAAACAAGATGAAAGCCACGAACCCGGATGTATGCACGTTCTTGGACTACAGGGAAGCGACAATGTCACGCCTAAGTCATGCCTAGCATGTTTTTGAATGGCATTTACCATTGTAAACGCTGTATCCAAGAAGTCATGCCTAAGTCATGCCTAAATGCTTTTCTGCATGGAACGCTGTCCTCAATAAAAGTGTAACCATGCATTTTAGACATGAAAAACAAATGAAACACAATGGAGCGCGATTGATGAAAATATTGATTTTCTACTCTCTTACAATGTCATTCTCGTGTGCAACCTGCATGTGAACGCTGGGATTCTGCATCTTTATTTTTCTATTCTCTGGGTCACTTCCTGTACTACAAAGCTTGAACAAAGTACTTGCCAGTACTACTTCGTACTGCAAAGCTTGCACAAAGTCCTTCCCAGTACTACTTTGTACTACAAAGCTTGCATAAAGTCTTTCCCAAACAGGATAATCTGGATAATCTGGGATGAACATCCAAAATCATCAAATCACCAGCTCAACGCCATCTTACCTATAACTAATCAATTTTCCCACAACCTGGAATTCTGCATGCTAATAGTGATCAGCTACGTGATCTCATAAGAAAACGGGTTACAAATCCAAACTCCAGAGTTCCTATGCGTTCTTGCTAAAGGCACGACTTTTGCGAAACACACTTCCCCAAGGCACAACGATTTTTTCCTAAAACAGGTACGACTTTGTCAGATGCCTGTACAAGTGAAAACCTCTGCAATAGGAAAACGAACCTTTTTTTTCATGCATCGTGCGCGCATATCGTCTCAGCGAAGGCACCTGATCAACAGTTCACCAAAAGACAACTAACGCACAAAGACACGCATGGAAAACATCGCTTGAAGACAGTACGTATTTCCCCTGTTACCAGTCTGCAGTGTGGAGTGGAAAGTGTAGAGTGCGGAGTGGAGTGGAAAGTGTAGTGTGTGGAGTGTGGAGTGTAAAGTAAGGAGTGTGGAGTCTAAAGTGTGGAGTGGGGAGTGTAGAGTGTGTAAAGAGTAGAGTGTGGAGTGTGGAGTGTAGTATAAAGTTTAAGACGTCCCAGTACTACTTTGTACTACAGAGCTTGCACAAAGCACTTCCCAGTACTACTTTGTACCACAAAGCTTGCACAAAGCACTTCCCAGTACTACTTTGTACTGCAAACTGACATGACAAACTGCTCGGAAACCTTCGAAAAGGAGAGGTTTTGCAGCTTTCCCCATAGACATGGCGACGCCACAGGAAAACCAGAGACTCGAGACGAGACACGTGGGCGCAGCAAAACGAGCATTTTGTGCGAGACTTCCTCTAATTTTGACACTTTCGACACGTTATCAAACAGGTTGGAATGTCACAAAGTGCCACGCCTGCCACGCAAAACGACATGACAACCTGCTTGGAAACCTTCGAAAAGGAGAGGTTTTGCAGCTTCCCCCACAGACACGGCGACGCCACAGGAAAACCAGAGACTCGAGACGAGACACGTGGGCGCAGCAAAACAAGCATTTCGTGCGAGACTTCCTCTAATTTTGACACTTTCGACACGTTATCAAACAGGTTGGAATGTCACAAAGTGCCACGCCTGCCACGCAAAACGACATGACAACCTGCTTGGAAACCTTCGAAAAGGAGAGGTTTTGCAGCTTCCCCCACAGACACGGCGACGCCACAGGAAAACCAGAGACTCGAGACGAGACACGTGGGCGCAGCAAAACGAGCATTTCGTGCGAGACTTCCTCCAATTTTGACACTTTCGACACGTTATCAAACAGGTTGGAATGTCACAAAGTGCCACGCCTGCCACGCAAAACGACATGACAACCTGCTTGGAAACCTTCGAAAAGGAGAGGTTTTGCAGCTTCCCCCATAGACACGGAATTGACGACGCGACGAGCCACTCGAGGCGAACAAGGGTCAAGCCCCCAGACCCCCAGACTACAAACGGGAACCCTTCGCTACGCATTCGGGAAAAAAAACAACAAAAATATCTTGAGAAGTGATGACAGCTGGGAAAATATGGAAAATGACTCTGAAAATTGCAATTTATAGTTGATTTACCCGTTAAAAATGATGATTTTCCATAGTTCTGTTAGTTTACCAGAGGCTAAATGGTGGATTTTCCAGCGGCCATGACCGGTCTTGACGGTGAATTATCCCTTATGAACTTCAGATTCTCCCAGAATTTCGCTCCAAAATATCAAGAGGTCAACTGCTGCATAACGATGGGATAGTAATAGTAATTCTGGTTGGTGGTATTGGGTATTAGAGAAAGGGATTTCAGACCATAGTTACTTTAATCTATATTGGTGGCTGCTATATTATCTATATTATCTGGTTGGTGGTTTTAACCATCTTGAAAAATATGAAAGTCAATGGGAAGGATTATCCCACACATTATGGAAAATAAAATTCGTGTTCCAAACCACCAATCAGTAATTGTCTGTTGTATGTAGCAATCCCTTCCCTGCAAAAAAAAACACCCCTGTTCGAATATTCCCTATGTATAAAATCATAAATCCCCTACTAAACCATGCTTTCCGGGGGTTGTTTAGTAATACTTGGGGGCGCAGGCCAGAGGTTAGAAATTTGTTTTTGATGGTGAGCAACCCCTCATAAGTTGGGAACCCCCACAACCTATGGTGAAAACCTTTGGTAAACATACAAAAAGCTATTGAACATGGCCATAGAAATAGTTGATTTGCCCAGCTACAAAATGGAGATTTTCCATTTTTTTGTAAACGTTTACCGGTGGGTAAGTCATACTGTATCATATGTTTCACAAAAAACCTTGGGTCATACTGTATCATATGAGTATTATGAGTCGCTGGATTGGTTTAAGGGAACGTTTGCAGAACATCTAAGAGGTTCCCCTTTGGCTTCCTGCATTTATCACTGGGCACTTCCAACTAGCCGGGATGAAAATGTTCGGAAATGCCACAGAGATTCACCAACAATCTCAGCAGTTTCCGGTCGAGGCACCCGAAAAATTGCTCGCCAACGGATTGAAAAGTGCCAGGGATGACGGAAAATTCCCTCTTAGATTTGCTTCAGGACATCCCAGAACATAGAAATAGTCCCAAAATAGAAATAGTCCCATGGAAACCCCTATCCTAGTAGATTTCCGAAATGGTGGATTAACCAGTGGAAAAACCAGTGGAAAATCCAGGTAATGGGTATGAAGTAATCCCCGTCCCTAACGGTAGTTAAGGATGAGTAATACGGAGATATAATGAGAATACAATGGGTGATGGGAATATTTATGGGGATCTGATATCACAATTTTGCGCTTTCGGCATGTTTCCCACAAAAACTTTCAATTTTTTGGTTTGGGCTTCACGCGTAAACTTTAGATTGAGGAGGTGATTGTACAGAAATCGTGTAAAACTTACGGAATGAAATTAGACTGCAAAATTGTGACCCACAGGTCGCCATAAATGTTATCATGTTCAAATACACCTGCAAAAAGCCCGGGCCTTATCTTTCTGCGAGGGCTTGTGCTTCCAGCCTAGGAGATGTTTTTTGCGAGGGCAAGGGCTGCCTGGGAGCAACTATAGAGATTCTACTAGGCGTTTGTTTTAATATATTGGTACAATTGTATTATAAGCTGTTTCTACTGGATGTAATTATATACTGTAAACACAGTTAAGAACTATTGTAGAAACTGGCTGCTGCAATGGATTGTGGATAGCATCTATCCATGCAGTTTTTTTAATCACAGTCGCCTGTCAGTTGAATTTAAAAAACATGAAATCTTAGTGACAAAAGTGAATGGATTACTGTAAGGTCTTTTCAAAGCTTCTAAAGCAATGCCGCCTTGATCAAAAGATGGCAATCATCGAATCATTTTTTTCGTTGCCGCATGGCCTCAATCCATATACTCATAATTATATAATCAGCTTGGAAAAATATCCGTATATCCCTAATTATTGAGTAATATCCATATATCCTAATACCAATTCACCATCCCTAATTGGAACAGATTTTACCTGCAACAAGAGCCATCTAAAAGGGCCCAAGGAGCAGAAGCCGCCCAACGCACAGCAGCCGCTAATGAGGAGGATCAAGAAGAGGAAAAACCTCAGCGCGACATCTGTCAAGCCCTTCACAAATAAACTATCTTAAACCAAGAAGAATGACGATTTTACCTGCAACAATTATGGTGCTTATGTTTTTTTTAATGGATTTAAGCCAACAAGAATGATGCTTTTATACGGGTTGGACGGGTTGGATTGGGTTGGTAAATCATTAGTTGGGTCTTATTTTTTCACATCACCCAACTGTTATGGGAAAATGATATCCAACAAATACGGTTCCGTATTTGTGATGTTCAAAATCTTCAAAGCATGGCATTTACCAAGCTCAAAATTTCACCTGCAAAAGTTATGCATTTATCAACAGAAACTGGTTGGTGGTATACCTACCCCTCTGAAACATATGAGTTCGTCAAATGGGATTATTGTTCCCATGGGAAAAGATGTTCCAAAGCACCAACCAGGAAATGGTAACCATCGAGAGTACAGAGACTTAGCCAGCTCAAAACTTGGAGGTCAACTTATTAACTGCTGTTGTTTTATGTTGTTTAAAAAAAGTGGGTGATTCCAAGGATCAACATTCACGGCCCCTGCAAAGTTTCTTTAAAAAACTGGCTGGTAAACGTTCTGTAATGGGAATAAAAATAGAGTAACAACCCAAGGTTGACGCAATTGTGAGGGATTTCATTGCCACGACGCACGCAGGTTTGTAAAGAAAAGTACGCGGCAGTAGTCCAATGATGTCAAGGAATGGCCACAGAAAGAGTGGATTTACCCGTAGTTTTGTGTATGTTTACCAGATATAATCTCCATTTTCCTATGGTTTTCCTATGGTTTTCCTATGGTTTTCCCATGAAAACCCTCCATTCTCACCGTCCTTTGGCATCCGCGGCTTTGACCATTTCAGGATCCAACAGATCCTGAGGTACGTAAACGTACGCAAACATAGGCCATTGAACCATTCTTTTTCCAGATTCTGAAAACTAGCCGGCCTGGTTATGTCAAAATAAATAGCTATTGAAAATGACCATTATATTTATAGTGGATTTACCCATTGTAAATGGTGGATCTTTCCATATTTATATAAGAAAACCATAGGAAAATGATGGTTAATGATGGTTAATAGTGGTGAATAGTGGTTAATGATGGTTTTAATGGATTTACCCATTGTAAATGGTGGATCTTTCCATAGTTATGTTAGTTGACCAGAGGCTACCGGGGAAACAACCGCTTTGCGATTTCAGGGAGCAGGAGAAGGATGGCCGGGCGAAGGTTGGAGTTTTCTCCTGCGCACCGCCGCAGCGTGCTCCACCGACCCTGAAGGATACATTCGTTATCCGTCGTGTTGTGGGAAAATGACTGAAAAAGCATATCCTTGTTCTGTTTCTTGGGGTCTGGTGAATTCAGAAAGTGTACAGCTGAATGTTCCTTTCTATTTTTGAGGGATTGAAGAGTAATGGAAAATTGCCAGTAAATAATAAAGAAATATAAAGAAATTAGATTGCCAACATGTGCCATCAAAACTTATATATTGCTTGGCAAAAAAGGCTTTCCTTACATAGGACATTGCCAACATCTTTCATACGCGTACGAAAACACGTCTATTGCGTATTGCAAAAACGGCTTGCTTTATACATCCACAGCCGCCATTGCATCATGTTGCATCCCGTGAAATCCAGAAAAAATCACCAACACAGTGGTTTTCACCACGTTTCAAGCCATATCATGATCGTATCATATCCCAATATCATCCAATATCCTTATTGTGCCATGAAATCCCTATCATTGCATCAGGCTGTAGGACCATTTTTTTCTAGGAACAATATCCCTGGTTGTATCCTGGTGGTACGATCCACATGAGTGACTTGTTGCCTCTTTCGTGCTTTCGGTGGGCCCCCAAACATGATGTGAACCTTGGATGTTTTAAAACTCCATGAAAACTAGTTCGAGATATCCCCCAGAAGCGCAACAGTGAAGCAACTTCTAAACCAACTCATATCCAAAATCAGCTCATATCAACTATCAATCTCCATTTTTACAGCTATTTCTAGTGATTTTGTATATCAATCTCCATTTTCTGGCTTTTTTACAGCCACGTTTAAAAGCGGGTGAAACTGGACCGACAAGTCATCCCACGTCCCTCGTCCCCTCAGATCGAAATCGCTCCGTGCACGGCTTCGGTGTTCTTTTGAAATCCAGTTGGGTCCACCAGGCTACCAACCTGGAGCAGGATGGGATTTCCAGATCCCTTGGGGAGTCAAAACCAACGATATACCCTCTGGTTATGTCAAAATAACTATTGAAAATGGCCATTTATAGTTGATTTTCCTAATTAAAATGGTGATTTTCCATAGTTATGTTAGTTTACCAAAGGGTACTAGCACCATACTTAAGTATACTTAAGTCACATCAGGCGGGAAAAGTCACATCATCCCCATGGCACGGTGGCGATACAGAAAAGTCACATCAGGTAGTGGAAAGTCACATCAGGGAAGAAGAATCACCATGGCACAGCATGTTTCATCCATACTTGGAGATGTAGTTAAAAGTAGCCGAAGCATTGCGCACAGCGATGATTTTGAAGGGCACAAATTAATACAAACAAATTCTCGGCAGCTAATCCTATTGGATTTGAATATATATTGATGTCCTGCGTCGCGTGACCAAATCAAACCCCTATTGGTACAGCCTCAAATTTCTTGCAATGCAAGTGGGTTAGCTGTAGCAAATCCTATTGGCAGGGCTATGATCTAGGATGATATAAGGATATGGGGGCCCCTTGTGCATCAATGTCGTGGACAGCTCTCAAGAAGGGCATATTTCTGGGGCATATTTCTGGGGAATATATCATCTGAATGTCATGTCAGTGATTGATAATCAATGATTGATAGACTGTAACAAAAACGCGCTTTGCGAACTGGACAATCTGCATTTTTGCATAGGTATAGCATCAGAACTCCTCTATAAATGGATCATTTTCCATGGCTATGTTTAATAGCCAGAGGGTAGTGGTAATTTATAATTTCATCGCGATTGATAATGAGCAATGGAAATATGATGACATATGTGCATCTTGGAAAACATGGAATTGAGCAAATATCATGATAGTTGATTTCAATGGGTAGGTTTGATATTTATTTCCCATTTCTGAGATAAGTCACTGGAATTGAGCAAATATCGTAGGAATATCTTTGGGAATATAATGTAATGAGAATATAATGGAGACATCATGAGATGGAAAAGAACATGGTGGTATATCATGGTGATCTAATTTAGTGACATAATGGGAATATAATGGTTCGTTTATAGGATTGTGATTTGTGAGGGCTAGTAACTTCCTAAAAAAGATATAACTCAAATAATCTTCACGAGTTAGTTTCATGGGGTTTCATTTATATAATTCTATAAACTATCTTTATTGGGGATGACTAAACCAGTGAGTCAACCAGCTGTTTGGAGTGGGCGCCATCTGGATGTCGACCTCGACCTCATTTTCAAGCCCAAGTTACGTGCATCTCAGATAGTGTGGTGAATAAGCATATCAAATTACTAAGTTGCATTATATCTAAGTTATAATATTTCACTAACCTGAATCTTGCGGCCATTTGCGGATGATTTCCCTAAAATAAACCATGATTTCCAGTGAGGGAGAACAGTGAGGTCGTTATAATTTACCCAGATTATATATATATACATAGGAGATACCCTAGTATTAGTGGGTCAGTTCCCCCACGGATCAATTTCATGGGTCCCACCCGGCCAGAAACAGAAATCTGGCATACCCTCCGGCAATCAAAGATGGCAGTTTAATATGGCTTTATATGGTTTTTCATCGGAAAATAAGGATGTTAGTGGGATAATACTGGAGCATTCATCTGGGTAAATTATAATATTTCACCAACTGCCTGAATCTTGCGGCCATTTGGGGATGATTTCCCAAACCAAAAACCATGATAAACCAGGGTTCGGGAGAAGAGTGAGGTCGTGATTAAATTTACCCTCTGGTAAACTAACATAACTATGGAACATCACAATTTTTACTGGGTAAATCCACTATTTCAATGGCCATGTTCAATAGTTTTTTTGTAAGTTTACCCGGCCGGGTACCCAGATATACCGAAGAAAACCCTTCGGTAATCAGCCAGCCACCTCCAGCCGCTCCGGGGATTTCGCCATGGATTACCAGGCCGGGTAACACCATGGCATTCCCTAGGCCCTTAGGCCTATGGGTAAATGAATATAGTATATTCATCAAGTAATTTGTTACGTAGCTATTGAAAATGGCCATAGAAATAGTGGATTTACCCAGCTAGAAAATGGTGATTTTCAATAGCTACGTTAGTTTACCAGAGGGTAGTTATGGGTAAATCAACTATCAATGGGCCATGGAAAATCACCATCTTTAGTAGGTAAAGCAACTATCAATGGGCTATATCTGGTTGGTGGTTAAAAAACAATCTTGAAAAATATGAGTTTGTCAATGGGAAGGATGACATCCCATATATAAAGTTGAAAAAAAAACAACCACCAACCAGGTTATAAATCACTAGATGTAAGTCTGGATTTTGCCAGAGTGATTCACGATTCTGCCACAAACTGATTTTTATAGGCCTAGTTTTAATGGAAAAAAATCATGTGCTGATATTTTGGGGGTGGCTCAAAAAAAACATGACTTCCATTTCAAAGCTAGATAACTAGGCGATGTTCAAATCATCCCAAGCCTGTCATATCTATACATACATTTAAGCAGGTGCATGAGAAAACTACTCATTATTTTGAAAAATATCATATGATGCACATGTGTTTGCATATAGATATGGTTATACATTTATAGTGCGTTTTTGTACATGTACATATAGTTATTTGTCTATTCATAGTATAGATTTGTATATATATATATAATATCACATATCTAATATCTATACTAAATTTATATCTATCTATATCTATCGATCTATCCACCCATCCATCTATCTATTATACATGCTTATCGCTGTATCTAACTATAAAACAAAAGGGTGTAGAATAGTTTTTGGATTTTTTTGCCTCAGAAGTTTGTTTGGCTTTCTTTCCTGGTGCCTTGTAGTTGCAACAGTTTGGAACTGGAACCTGTCAGTTTGCACGGTAATTGCTACATTTCGACATGGTCACTTTGCATTTTGCATGGTATTTGCTACATTTTGGCACTGAAACCTCTCATTTGCATGGTGTTTGCTACAATTTGGTACTTCAAACGTTGATGTGGGTTTCTTGAGGGTTCTTTAGGCTTTCATTAAGGGTTTCATTTAGGGTTTCATTTAGGGTTTCATTTAGGGTTTCTTTAGGGTTCCAATTTAAGGTTTCATTCAGGGTTTCATTTAGGCTTTCGTTAAGTTTTCATGCCAGGGTTTCTTATCATGATTTGTTTCACGGTTTCAAAAAAAAAGTGGGGTCCTTTAGGGCTTCTTTAGGGTTTCGTTTAGGCTTTCTTTAGGGTTTCATTTAGGGTTTCAATTTAGGGTTTCAATTTAGGGTTTCATTTAGGGTTTCATTTAGGGTTTCTTTAGGGTGTCAATTTAGGGTTTCATTTAGGGTTTCAGTTAAGGTTTCATTTAGGTTTTTTTTTTCAGAGTGTCGTTTGGGGTTTCTTGGGGATGCCATCCAGGGTGTCATTTAAAGTTTCTTTAGGGTTTCATTTATGGTTTCAGGGTTAATTTATGGTTGCATCCACAGCGTCTTGGAGCTGCTTGAAATCTGAAATGGATGTTACGACGTAGCATCCAGATTGGAAGTTGATTGAAATGGATGTCACAACGCAGCATCCAGAGCGTCTTGGAAGTTGATTAAACTGGATGTTGCAACTTAGCATCCAGAGCGTCTTGGAAGTGACTTCAAGTGGATGTTACAACGCAGCGTCTTGGAACTGACTTCAAATGGATGTTACAACGTAGCATGCAGAGCGTCTGGGAAGTTGATTGAAATGGATGTTACAACGTAACACGTGAAAATGACTAATTATCTGAGCTGGAAAAGATCCGTTGGAGGCTCTGAAACTATTGCGCCTGCCACACAAAAGCAGGGGTCAAATTCGCCCCTACCTCCACCTTGAGTCGGGGCAAATGCGACCCCACATGAGGTAGGGGCAAATGCGACCCCCGTGCCTTTCTTATCAGGATTTCTTCAGGGTTTCTTTGGGTTTCACCTAGGGTCTCTCTAGGGTTTCATTTAGGATACAAACAGGAAAGAATAAAGCAAAAGAAAATGAAAAGCAAAGAGACAGTAAAGACAGGAAGCAAAGAAGCAGAGGAGCAGGAAGTAGAGCAGCAAAAACACATGACTGAAGAAAAGAAAAGTAGAATAGTAGAAGTAGAAAGGCACAAAAGCACGCAAGCCGAGAACCAGGGAAAACAGAGAAGCAGAAAAGCAAAGAAGAGAAGCAGAAAAGCAGAGAAGCACGAAAAGCAAAGAAGCAATGAAAGCAGAGAAGCAGAAATCAGAGAAGCAAACAAGCAAAAAGCAGTGAAGCAGGAAAAGTAAAAACCAGAGAGGCAAAGAAGCAGAGAAGCAGGAAAGCATAGAACCAGGAACCAAAAAAAAAAACCTGCCGCAAACAAAAAGCACTCCGGAAAAAATATTCAGTTCTTTATTTCATATATAAATATAGTTAGTTATATATATATATATCATATATACTTGTTTATATCTGTATCTACCCTCTGGTTATTTAACAGTTTGCCATGGAAAAATCCACCATTTCTAATAGCTAAACCATCTATTTCTATGGGCCATGGCTTCCACCATGGCTATGTTAGTCATAACCAGAGGGTACTTTCATACTTCAACGACATTGATAAGCTACCTTGGAAAATTAGTTTCCATTAAAACTGGGTCATTTTCAGGGTCGAACTGTTAATTTACTAGAGGGTAAATATATATATATATCATATATATATACTTCAATCCTCATGGGCTTGGCAATGCACCCAGGGCTTGGCAATATATCACATATATATATATATATATATCATATATATCATATATATCATATGTATCATATATATATATATATCTTATATTATCTTATCATATTATACATATGTTTATATCTGTATCTTATATCAATGGATTGGTTTTGTTGGGAAAATCTACAGGAAACCATAGATTTTCCCATGAAGATCATGGAGATTATAAAAACAATCCAGCCATCTCCACGCCTGTTCCAAGAGCTGTTCTTTCGCCTCCCGCACCGGCGTCATGGCCTCATTCAGCCTGAGAAAAAACAACGCAGGGCGTTGAAGGTGCTGCGACCGGCGCCACGCAGGGGGGTTATAGATGTTTATTTCTTTTATTTGATATTAACATGGGATTTATTTATATGTATATATATATATATGTGCTATTGTATATTATTTATATATATATGGCTATATATGGTCTAAACCCTGGTTTAGATCATTTAGATGGTTTTATAAGGTTTCATTTGCTGAATAAACTGGAATTTCAATGGGGTCATATGGTTTAAAAGGGATTTAATGTTAGTTTAGGTGAAGCAATACCACTTGGTAAGCGGTTGACAATCATAGTAAGTTCAACCATTTATTGATGGGATAACCCACGAATCGGGACTTACATTGATGTTGGACGCCGATGAGTGAATGGATAGTCAACAGCGCATGTGCGTTCCCAGAATCATTCCATTGTCGCTAACTGACGGCCCTAATCAATAACAACAACATGAGTCTGAAGAAATGCCATCCCAATTCAGGGTCAGGTGATGTCAGGTGGCCGGGACTAATCACGGTAGCCATTGGCAATTGATACCAACAACCAGCGTTTAAGTTTAAACTACGATGATGATGACATCCCCGAAAAACACATCACAGCCCCAAATTTGATACCAATGATCTGTGAGATTTCCCATCCAATGATCGAAAAATATCACCGTACTAGACCTGGATTAATGTGGTAAACCATGGTAAACCCAAAGAGATCATACCGAATCTCACCAAAGAAAGAGGTTCTGGAAGTTCTGGAAGATGATTTTCCTATTGCTTTGGGCTTTCAGACATGAATTTTAGAGAGTGTACGGGACGATGTTCCATTCCTATCACTCCAAAGTAGGGTTTTTTGATGTAAAAAATGTGGGAAATGCAGCTGGAAATGCTGGAGAAACATCAGGCTTTCATTGACATCAGGGTTGCGTTGCGTTTGATGGAGTCATATGATCAAATCCCCATGCCACGATATATTACGATGTTCATTTTTCTTGGGCAAATCTCCATTGTTCAATGGGAGATCTTCAGGATCCAACAGATGGAGGTACTGTACCTTATATATGGTAGGTACCCCCATTTTAGGATCCTGGAATGGCCATTGACATTGTTGTTTATTCTTGGTAAACTGTCTGTGACTATGAAACCTTGTGCCCAATCATCCACTGTTTTCTCGGGCCAATTTATCCACCTGGTATGGGCAACACTGTGGATGGTTGCGAAATCCCGCAGCAGCTGGTAACAAAAGAACACAATTCCACACTTTGTTCATGACTGGTTGGTGGTTGAACCCCTCTGAAAAATATGAGTTCGTCAGTTAGGATGATGACATTCCCAACATATGGAAAGTCATAAAACTCCATGGTTCCAAATCACCAACCAGTATATCTCATTAACCATTATTAAACCACTATTAACCATTATTAACCATCATTAACCACCATTAACCACCATTATCCCATGACTTTCCTTGGTTTTATCTGGTTTTTTGTGGAGGTTTCCAAAAAAAACGGGATACCATGGGATTACCATCGTCCAGGCAACAAGGTCTGCAAGTCCGCTGCGGCTTGGCCCTGCAACTGCTCCTGCACTTGTCCTCGTGCATCCCTGGCGAAGTCTGGTCAGGCCTGGGAGGTCCTTGAAGAATTCTGGAGGAGTGATTAATGTTAGGAAGTTTCTCTACCATGATCTTCTCTCCAAGAATTGTCAGGTATCATGGGTTGATGTTAGGTTAGTGCTCATGTTAGGTTAATCATTAATGTCAAGCCTGGATTAATAAACCCCAAACGGCTGTTTAATTGGGAGGGTACCATTTAAGTATTAGATTATGACTATTGGAGGAGTACCCCCTTAATTAATAAACCATGGTTTATTCATCCGGGGTTGACATTACTTCATTCGGAACATGATTGAAAAGTGGTAGTGATTTCATGAGGAAAATGCTGGAAAAATGATTGTCCTCTGGTAAAACTAACATAGCTATTGAAAATGGCCATTTATAGTTGATTTTCCCATTAAAAACGGTGATTTTCCATAGTTATGTTAGTTTACCAGAGGGTGCTTGACTCGGAAAATGGTGGAATAAATGTGATTCAACAATGAGAATGATTGTCTTAGAGTATCAAGATCCAAACAGTCTTGGGATTTCATGGAGGTACGCTATGGAATCAACAAACAAATCATTAACCAACCATCATGTATATTCATTTATCAGTTTCTACCCACTTCGAGCCCCATATTTTGATGGTTGAAACCCCTATATAGGACATCCCATTAAATCCCATTAGGTCCCATATAATCATCAACTCTGCCACAAGTTCGATAGATCTCAACTGCCCAAAACGCGGACATCGACGCCAAGTGACTTCAAGGCAGCTCCGATACCACTCTCAAAGGCACTGGTCACGGGAGCCAAGACTTCCGCCAAAGGCGCACAAATGGCACAGGTGTGGTACATACCTGGAAAAGGGGGATGGATATATTGGTAATGATGGTATAAATATCTAGAAATATATGGAAATATATGGAAATACATAAAAATTTGTAGAAATATATGGAAATATATGGAAAACATAGTAATAACAATCATAATGACAAAAATTACTACATACCTGGAAATTGTGGGTGGGTTACAGGATGGGTGCGGGTTTGGATGGGTTAAAGCATGTTAAAGAACTTGGGGTTTCAGATCATGTGACACCCATCGCCCTATACTTTTAACCTTAAAATTGATGGGGCTTGAAATTCAGCCATTTCATGGTCACAGAAAAACTTATTGTGATCAACGACAATGTATCGATTTATATACGTGTATGCATATATGTGATGTATATATTAATCTATGCATTTACCCTCTGGTTATTTAACATAGCCATGGTATAGATGGCCCATTTATAGATGGTTTACCTATTAGAAATGGTGGATCTTTCCATGGCAAACTGTTAAATAACCAGAGGGTTTGAAAAAACCGTGGTTCTCCCCAGGTCTGGTTGGTAACGTTGGCATCATTCTCTTCTCAACCCGTCGAAGATAGGTTCAATATCTCTACGATTCCGATAGGCTATCCCCCAAGCCTCCATCCGCCATCCAACATCAGGATCACAAAACAGCTGGCTGGGAGGTAAGTCAAATAGGGCTTGACAAGTAACCAAATAGCCAGGTCTAAGCAACAAAAATATACAAAAATCAATGGGAATTTCAGGAACCTAAATTGGAGGTGCCTACCATATATATATATATATATATAAGGCCCATGTACAGTAAGGGAATATGCCCACAAAATGTGGCCTTATATGGTACAGTACCTCCATTTTAGGATCCTGAAATTCCCATTGCAAAAATGAGGAATTCATCATTGAACAATGGTGCTGGGAACATCACCGAGAAAGATCAGCTGATGGGGTCAGCCTACGAGGAAATTCTGCGCAGATCTTCTGTTTGTTTTGCCTGCATCCTCTCAACAATCCCCATTCACCTAAATCATCTTTTGGACAGCCCAGGTTCCACGTCAAATAGTAAAAGAATCACCATCTGTTTTTTTTAAGCTATGGACAGTGCTCAGTGGCCCATTGATAGATGATGAACATGAAAATTGAAATTCATCTGTTAATAATCGTGATTTACCCATTAATAGTGGTGAGTTCCCATGATTTTCCAGAAATTCTAACGGTACATGAAATAATACCATAATGATGTTTCGTGATTTTCCATAAATTATAATTTTTTATCATGGTGGGTTTCAATAAATAATGCTGATGTTCCATGGTTTTCTATGATTTTCCACACATTTTCCATGGTGTTCCATGATTTTTCCATAATTTTCCATTCATTTTCCATGATTTTCCTTGGATGTTCCGTTGATTTTCCATGATGTTTCCATGATTTTCCATGGATTTTCCATGATGTTTCCATGATTTTCCATTCATTTTCCATGATTTTCCACAGATTTTAAATTGATTTTCCATGATTGTCCATTCATTGTCCATGATTTTCCATGGATTTATGATGTTTCCATGATTTTCCAAGGATTTTCCATGATGTTTCCATGATTTTCCATTCATTTTCCATGATTTTCCATGGATTTTCAATTGATTTTCCATGATGTTTCCATGATTTTCCATTCATTGTCCATGATTTTCCATGGATTTTCCATGATGGATAGCCCATGCTTTCAGCTCTTTTCGGCACGCGTTCGTGCCGAAAACGATGCCGCCGGGGCACCCGTGGGCGCCTGATTCTCGGCATGCGAGACCTCGACGCACAAAAAGGGCCCCGGGGCTTCGTCGCTGATCATATAGTCAGCTATTATCCAATGATAGATATTTGTATCTATAAATATAAATATATATATATATAGTCAGTTAATATAGTTGGTTAAATAGGAATACCTATCATATCACTAAGGATTTAACCAGGAAGGTTAGAAGCGGGGCTTGTCGGATTGATAGTTCATATAATGTGGGTAAGACAATGCCATAAACCATCCTCCAGTCATCACCATTTTTATAGGTGTTATGGTTACCATTCCCAGTCATGGCTGGTAAAAATGACATTGTTTTACTCACATTCGTGCTACTGATTTTCATTACTGAGTAAATACCAATCCTGAGCCCATGTTAATGACAATTCTGAATACAATACTGGTTGGTGGTTTCAACCATCTTGAAAAATATGAGTTCGTCAATGGGAAGGATGACATCCCATATATGAAATGGAAAATAATCCATTCATGTTCCAAACCACCAACCAGGATATATTGTAACCATGATTAACCATAGATTAACCATAGATTAACCATAGATTAACCATAGATTAACCATAGATTAACCATAGATTAACCATTAACCATAGATTAACCATAGATTAACCATAGATTAACCATAGATTAACCATAGATTAACCATAGATTAACCATAGATTAACCATAGATTAACCATAGATTAACCATAGATTAACCATAGATTAACCATAGATTAACCATAGATTAACCATAGATTAACCATAGATTAACCATAGATTAACCATAGATTAACCATAGATTAACCATAGATTAACCATAGATTAACCATAGATTGACCATAGAACCATAGATTAACCATAGATTAACCATAGATTATCCATAGATTAACCATAGATTAACCATAGATTATCCATAGATTAACCATAGATTATCCATAGATTAACCATAGATTAACCATAGATTATCCATAGATTAACCATAGATTAACCATAGATTATCCATAGATTAACCATAGATTATCCATAGATTAACCATAGATTAACCATAGATTATCCATAGATTAACCATAGATTTTCCATAGATTAACCATAGATTAACCATAGATTATCCATAGATTAACCATAGATTAACCATAGATTATCCATAGATTTACCATAGATTAACCATAGATTATTCATAGATTAATCATAGATTAACCATAGATTATCCATAGATTAACCATAGGTTAACCATTTGGGAATGGTTGCATTTCGATACATCTCTCCCCCCAGTTCCGCCACGTCACCACTTCTTGCAACTGCTTCAGGCTCTGAGCCACCTGGGTGTAGGCCGTGTTGATCCTGGGGCCGTTTCGCGGCCGATAGAGGAGATGTTTGGGGATGCACTTGGCTTCGGAAAAATGATGGTTTCATGGGATCTAATGGGATCTAACGGGATTTCATAGAACATTACTCATGGATTTCATAGAATAATTATTACTCATGGATTGGGATGATTTGGGATTGAATGGACATGGATTACTATTGGGATCTCACGGCGCCCCGGGGAGCCGGCGACCTTTCGGCTGCGGATCATTTTCCCCAATGGAAAAACCATTGGAAAAATCCATGTGTTGCAGATATCTGCCCCAGTTTACCCCAGCTTCACCATGTCCCAGGAAAAAATCCATTTACTAGGCTAAACATACTTCGAAAGATGTGGAAAACCGATGAAAAGCCATGCTTTCCCCAGGAACATCGCCTGGAAATTCTTCGAAACTAACCATTTGTGGGTAAAACAATGTCATAAACCAGCCATGACTGGGAATGGTTTAGCCATACCACCTATAAAAACGGTGATGACTGGGGGATGCTGCAAATGGCATTTGCCCACATGATAGGAACCGTATATATATATGAAAAAAATATAATTATCATTATTACTATGATAGACTATTGAAAATCACATCAAATAACTATGATAAACGGAATCTCCAGGAGTTTTATGGCATTTTTTCCCAGAAACCCCTGGTTTTTGGGGCCCCGGGCGACTCCCCTGTCGGCCATTTCCAGGCCAGGCAACTTGGCGGTGGAGCCGACGATGCCCCCCACTTGATCCATGAAGCCGTTGGGGATGGTGGGATCCAAGGCTTGCGAAATTTCTCGGCGGTCGTTGGTAGAGTTGGACATCGTGGGTATCTGGTTGGTGGTTAAAAAACTGGACCATAGTGGTTAATGATGGTTAATGATGGTTAAAAAACTGGACCATAGTGGTTAATGATGGTTAATGATGGTTAATGATGGTTAATGATGGTTAATGATGGTTAATGATGGTTAATGATGGTTCATCATTGGTTAATGATGGTTAATGATGGTTAATGATGGTTCATCATTGGTTAATGATGGTTAATGATGGTTAATGATGGTTAATAATGGTTAATGATGGTTAATGATGGTTCATCATTGGTTTATGATGGTTAATGATGGTTAATGATGGTTAATGATGGTTAAAAAACTGGTTAATAGTGGTCAATAGTGGTTAATGATGGTTCATCATTGGTTAATGATGGTTAATGATGGTTAATGATGGTTAATGATGGTTAAAAAACTGGTTAATAGTGGTCAATAGTGGTTAATGATGGTTCATCATTGGATAATAATGGTTAATGATAGTATTTGGATCCATAGTACTATTTAATAATGGTTAATAGTGGTTAATAGTGGTTAATGATGGTTAATAGTGGTTTATGATGGTTAATGATAATGGTGATTAATAATGGTTAATACTCATTGGTTAATTAATGGTTCTATGTATTCAATACCATGTGTTAATAATGGTTAATGATGGTTAATGATGGTTCGTCATTGGTTAATTATGACTGGTTGGTGGTATACCTACCCTTCTGAAACATGATGGAGTTTGTCACTTGGGATGATGACATTCCCAAATATGACGGGAAATATAAAGTTCATGTTCCAAAGCACCAATCAGTTATACACCTTTTTTGCACACACATACATATGCACCATGGGCAATTTCATACACACACATAGTTATCTATATATAATATTTATATACAATGTATATATGCAGGCATTTTTTTCATAATTCACGAACCTGAAATAATTGAAATACTGCCTATTTCCTTGAAGGTTTATCCCATGATAATCTCATGACATTTACCAGCTGTTTCATAGGAAATTCAATAGTTACCAGCTGGCAAATTATCTGGGCACATTATAATAATTCACTAACCTGAAATGTTGGGCCATTTGGGGATGATTCCTCTTGTTAACCATGATTCCAGTGAGGGAGGACAGTGAGGCCGTTATAATTTGCACAGCGTTATATAATTATGTAACGTATATATATAATTCTATGTAGGTATGGGATGAGCTACCATATTGTATTTATATATATTTATATCAGTTTATATCTGGCTGGATAGATGTATATCATGTGGGGAAACATCAAACGCACGCAAAATCCTTGGTTTTTTTTCATTGGGACTAATGAATCATTGGGATGGAACCAACCAAAGTTGGTGCCATGGATCTTTGACGGGCTCTGATCATTGGATCTCATCCCAGTTTGTTAACATAGCGGCCGGGGCAAATGGTCCTTTCAGGTTTCACCTCCGCCGGTGACTGGAAAATTCTGATTCTAATCGACCTGGTTGTTGAATGGAGGGAAGCTTCTAATCAGTGGGAAAAAGACCTATCTATGCTAAGAGATGATCTAGAAATCATGTTTTGGACTTTATAGTTCTTTTGGATTGAAACCCCATTGGAATGGAGATAAAGGAAAAAAAAAACTGCCTGGAGAAATATGGCCGGACTCCCAAAACTAGCTATAGTTGTCATTACATGTCAAAAATTCATCAAAATCCTGTTCAAAAAGTGATAAACTGATAATAAATTGATGATAGATTAAATCGATGATAGATTGATGAAAAATCGATGATAAATTAATGATGAATTGCATTTCTATCTGGCTTACTAGATATGTATACCCTGTATACCCGGACATGTTATAGTTGCATGTTTCCCCATCTGGACCGAACGCGTGCACTCCACAAAACCATGATGGCTTGGTCAACTCCAGTATTTCTCGGTTGAATCCCTTCTTTTTGATGTTTACCCGACATGGTAAACATACCAAAAACGATGGAAAGATCCACCATGTAGCTGGGTAAATCAACTATTTCTATGGCCATGGCTTCAATAGCTTTTTGTATGTTTACCGGAGTGTAAATCCCTTATGAATGACCCTCCTATTGTTTTCTAGAAGACCAATTCATAAGGATTTAACCAAGAAAATCATGATACATTGTTTATGATTTATGATACATTAATGTACATCCCTCCTATTGTTTTCTAGGCACCACGAATCGTGACCGAAACCACCGAATCTTGCCACGAAGCCTTCAAGGCGATTGATGGCCGGCAACATCCCAACGAAGTTTTCGGTGCCACTGATACTGTCCTGGTCGAGTCGAGACTCCACACGACCCGACACGGCGCTAAAGCTACCCCTGACCCCAGTGACCCCCGTACCCTCTGGTAAACTAACATAACCATGGAAAATCCCCATTTTCAATGGTTAAATCCACTATAAATGGTCATTTTCAATAGATTTCAATAGCTATGTTAAATTACCAGAGGGTAAATGATAGAAGCCGTAAATGAAGATCAATGCTATCATCGGTTATCATGGCAACAGACTGCCTGTAGGAACCATCAGAGTGCACCCCTAATATTTGGTGGCCAAAACCAGCCAAGTGACCTGTCGATTTTCCCTTGGAAAATATGGGGAGAGTTTTAAGGATCAACCAAAAATGGTGTCATAAACCGCCTGCCCTATGTGACCAGGGTTCCAACATGCCCACCGTCAACCCCGACATATACCTTGTTGGAAAGCCCGGAGCTACAGCTCTCAACATTCTTCGATTTTCATGGTTCTTAGATACGAACACAGCAACACAAACATGGCTGTTTAGCCGGTTACCCTCTGGTGAACTAACATAGCAATTGAAAATGGCCATTTATAGTGATTTTCCCATTAAAAATGGTGATTTTCCATTGCTATGTTAGTTCACCAGAGGGTAGCATGTACATCCCCATGTTTGATGTTTATGGGAAAGGATTAAGTTGCGTTAAAACTGCCAAGTTTCACCAAGAAAGGCGTCTAATTTGGAAAAAGGAAATCCCCGATAGAGGTCAAGCAAGAAGCTTATCCTTGGATGAAGTTAGAAGATTGAGGATATCCCTCTTAAGCACTGGTTTTCCTATGGAAAATGACAACTAACCTGGATGACAATTTGGTTTCCCACACTTGTTCTTAGTCAAATCATCACTGTTCTTGGTGAATACGGCAACTTTTTGGCTGAACCGTCCTTTGCACATATTTCGTTGCTCAAATGTTACATGGTGAATCTTAAATGTGATTAATTCATATTAATTCACGTTTTCAAGATGGGCATCAAACTCCCCCAATCAAAACCCATTTAGATCCATTTAGGGCAAAAAATAAAATACACTCAAGCCTCAAACCGCCCTTCACCAGTTGGCCTACCCCCAAATTTTCGCTAACAATCCTAGTAAACCTAAAATATTCCGGACATGTCTAGGCTCAAAAAAAATCCCCTTTGTGGATATGCTTTGGTTCACCACCCAACAATAATTAATAGGAAAAAAACTGACTATTCCCTGGAGATTCTTCTATTATAGTGGGTTCGTCCAGGTTTACACTGAAATATCCACCGTATTACATAAACCCATGCATAAACCCATGATAGCCTCTGGTTATGTCAACAGTTAGCTATTGAAAATGGCCATAGAAACAGTGAGTTTTCCCATTGAAAATGGTGATTTTCCATAGTTATGTGTATGTTTACCAAAGGGTATCCCATGGTTTCCAGCATTGAATGAATGTGTTTTTCTTCCCGAGAAATTTTTGTCGCTGAAATCGCCAGCGATTTATTTCTCCACTGCTTCAATCCCTCAATTTTTCCGAATGCGTAAAACCACATGTAAACCTGGTTGGTGGTTTAAAAACCATCTGGAAACATGATGGAGTTAAAGTCAATGGGAACATCCCATATATATATATATATAGTATATATAAAATGGAAATAATTAAATGGAAAATCAGATTCATCTTTGAAACCACCAACCAGCTTTGCATCTTTCCATATCTTTCCGATTTTCCTTGGCGTTTCACCACCATTCTTCTCAAAAAAATCCCATGGATTGTCAGAGTCCTGGACCAACTCGGCGGCCGAGCAGAAGGTGCCGGAGAAGCCCTCGTTGATGTTCTGGTAGCCCCTGCAGCACATTGTTTCGATCTCTCTTTTCAAGCCGCTAAAAAAGATCCCGGGAATTTTTGGGGAATTTCACTGGTTAGTTTTTCATTCATTTTTCATCGGAAAATAAGGATGTTACCCTCTGGTAAACTAACATAACTATGGAAAATCATCATTTTTAATGGGAAAATCCACTATAAATTGTCATTTTCAATAGCTATGTTAAATTACCAGAGGGTAATGGGTTCATAAACTGGATTCATCTGGGTAAATGATCATATTTCACTGGGATGATTTTACCATAAAAACCCCAGAACTTTTTCACCAGGCGTCTCGGGAGAATGATCAAATTAGATGAAAATATTGTATTATATACACAGACAAAGGCTAAAAATGAATGTGACAATGTGGCATACGCATATACTTATATAATATTATATATATATGTGTGTGTGATTATACATATCATGGGAATTCATGGGGTTTTTGATATTTGGATGTGTTTGTTTTCTATCTGTGATACATGATGGTTTTTATACCGGGATAACGAGTTCACCTTCACGGTGAGCAATGAACTCACCATCCAGATATATCCAGATCCAATAGATCCCGGCAATCAGATCTAAGATTCGTGGAGCATAGCTGAAACCCTTCGCAGGAAGTATTTGGATCCATAGTACTATTTAATAATGGTTAATAGTGGTTAATAGTGGTTAATGATGGTTAATAGTGGTTTATGATGGTTAATCATTGGTTAATTATAGCTGGTTAGTGGTATACCTACCCCTCTGAAAAACATGACAGTCAGCTGGGATTATGAAATTCCCAATATATGGAAAATAAAATTCATGTTCCAAACCACCAACCAGTATATCTCATTAACCACTATTAAACCACTATTAACCACTATTAAACCACTATTAAACCATTATTAACCATTATTAACCGCCATTAACCCATCATTAGGTGGTGAATAATCAATCCATTTTTTCAGAAAAATTCCATCCTGTAACTGAATTTCAATGAATTTCAGAGATATTTCTTGCCCAGAGATATCTTGGGGTTGGTTGAAAAAGGGTGCAACCCGAATCACTTCCCCTGGAATTTCTTGATTTTGACTGATAAATGATGATAAATGGGTTGACAATGCCTGGACCTTGCCTGGCTTTGGGCAAAAAAAAACAACAAAAATGGGCCTTAAAGAAAGGCGGCAAAAATTGGAATCCGAACAGCAAAAATTGGAACGCCCGGATTTGCCCAAAAAAAATGGTGGATTTGCTCTTTACAAATGGTGGATTCACGCCAATGTATTGCTAGTTTTGGCGAAGAAACTCACAATTAAGTGGGATCTGAGTGATCACGTTGGGGTCTTGACTACGAAGAATTGGATGATTGTAGTATAATGATTGTAGTTGGGTCATACTACTAGTATTGAATACTACAATTGTTTCAACATGATTGTAGTATGGGGGTTGACCAGCACAATGTCAGGGTTTTTCACCGATTAAAGTGAAAGGAAATTGGACTCGACAATGTTCCACATGTCGGATTAGTCAAGCAACCGGTGAATTTCTGCAACCAGGATATTATTCAGCTGTTCCCCACTAACTTGTCCGATAAAAAAGACGTGATGGTCCAGTCAAACTCATGACCAACACATCTTCATAAATTGGAATCCGGGTGCAAAACATGTCCAAACAACAATCTGTATATACAAGATGGTCTTCTAACTAAGAAAAAGGTTCATGCTAGATATATGATGATATATGTATAGTTTATGGTGGTTAAAAACCAACTTATAACCTGAGCGCAGAATAATACGTTCGTTGCTATGAGGTCATGATTACCGAAGGGTAAATCCATGAAGATCCTACAGGACAATTATTACAATCGAACATCCTTACATACCCTCTGGTAAACATACAAAAAACTATGGAAAATCTCCATGTTTGATGGGTAAATCAACTATTTCGACTGGGCCATGTTCAATAGCTAAACTCTTAGTCATAACCAGGTTGGGTAAACCTCCATTTTCCCATGGTTTTCCCATGGTTTTCCCATGGTTTTCCCATGGTTTTCCCATTAAAACTGGCGCATTTTCCGTATCTTCCAAGCGCCTGAGGGTCAAAGAGACCAGCACCAATGAGGCGATGCCAACACCTAGACCGGGGGAGATCAGCGGATCGCCCAAAAAAAAAAAGTGGAGATCGTGATGATGGTGATGATGATGACATTGCCAATCTTAGATACCCTGCAAAAAATAAAATTCTTTGCTGGTGAACGTAGATATTCCCATTGATACCAAAAGACTAGTTAGGATTAAAGTATCCATGTAAGATTGACCTAGATGATGATGATGATGATGATGATGATGATGATGATGATATATATATATATATGGGACATTAATGGGATGTATAATATGTATAATGGTGTATATATACATATATATATATATTATTGGATATAATGAGATATAATGAGATATATTTCGAGATAGGCACATTGGATATATATATATATAGGACGTTAGTAGGATGTATTGATGATATGTAGACATTGATGGGATGTATAATGGGACTTTAATATCATGGGATATCAATGTATACAATGATGATATATATGTTTCGAGATATGCAAATTGGATATGGGATACTAATGAGATAGCAATGTTGTGATAATCGTATATGAACGGATACCTCAATTGTTGGATATACATTAATTATCCTCTGTAATTATATCTGGAAAGATAAGGATATCTCACTAACCTGAACATAACTCCCATTTCACTGTTGGCTTTGTTTGATAGATACAAGTATATCTAAAACTAATTTTCATGGGGGTTCTACAAGGTGGCGTCCCATAGTTAGCTAAGTTGGTGAACATGCTCCAATAACTAGGCTTTATGTTTTTTTTTTAATGATACATAAATCAACTTCTACCTGGGGGGCACCACCTTGTCTGGTATAATTATCGATATTGATATGTGTATATATATATATAGAGCTAAAAATCTATGGCTACAATCCATCCAGATTCCCGTTTCATCGGGTGCTTGTGAAGTCATGGGGATATTAAACCTCCATCAAGCCCCTATTGTTCGAGCACCTTTAGGGGCAACCTTTAACTTCCATGATAAGGTAGTGAGTAATCTACCATTAAAGCAATCCAAAAAAGATGCCGAGGTGTGTGTTTCCAGGAGGGTTTGCCGATGTGTTTTTTCCACATTTATTTCCAGGTTTCCAACTATACTTATTTAGTGGGGTTGCTATTGGTATTTTATTTTACTGGTTTTGGCTACTTGTTGTACAAGGGGCATCCCACACAAGGAATTACTCGGAAGGTAACTATGGATTATTGAATTCATACGCTTGATGCGGTGCTGCTTATGACAATAATCTATTCCCTTTCATGTCAAAACCCGGCTATCTTCCCTATGAATCCATGACCATGTGGGGCTAATAAACTAAACTGTGATCAGAAACACAGTTTAAGCATGTGTATTTTGCACAACAAAAAAAAAAAAAGCTACTTAACAAAGGTCTGTTGCTGGCTCCCTGGCTCCCACTTAGTGGCTTCCTGAAAACCCCATAATCATCCCATTGATGGTAGGTGAGTGTACCCGTTTCTCAGCTAAGTTAATGGATGTTAATGGATGTTAATGGATGTGAATGGATGTTAATGAACATATAATGGTAGATATATCTATCATTGTTTAAAAAAAAGTCAAGTAGGGTTAATGGATATTAATGGTAGATATTAGATATATGATATATCTATCATTAGATGGTTGATAAGCCAACTAAAACTAGAGGTAAAACGCCAAACCAAAAACCCCTAACTGGGGCTATCCCGTCTGATTGGTGGTTTTAATGCCCGGCCCATCTTAGTCAATGGGAATAATTACTCATCTCAAAAACCTCAAAATAAAAACAAAAAAAACAAACCACCAACCAGCATCAACCAGCAAACGGTTTGGTTGGAAACATTGGAGGCCTACATGAACATGGTTATTCACGCTAAAAAAAACGTAATTCCTCTCATTTAGCTTTCCTGTATACATGTTTCCATGCCAGTCACGCGTAGATATCTCCCCATGGACTACCCTCTGGTGAACTAACATAGCAATGGAAAATTGCTATTTATAGCGGATTTTCCCATTAAGAATGGTGATTTTCCATTGCTATGTTAGTTCACCAGAGGGTACCACGATTTTAGTTGGTAAAATCACCATAAACTTGGCCTCAATGGGCCCGAAAAAACCAGATCATCGGAATATATACTCTCTGGTTATGTCAAAATAGCTTTGGAAAATGACCCATAGAAATAGTGGATTTACCCATTGAAAATTGTGATTTTCCATAGTTATAGTATTCAATACCATATCTGGTTGGTGGTTTCAACCAACCCCTCTGAAAAATATGAGTTTGTCAGTTGGGATGATGACATTCCCAATATCTGGAAAAATACCTAATGTTCCAAACCACCAACCAGATATAATTATATGCCCATTTTCGGCGATTACTTGGCCGAAGGGTATATATATCCATTAATATCCTTATATATCCCGTTCATATTCCCCTATACTATGAAATCGCGTCTGACAGCCCAAAAAATCATCTCATCCCCTTTATATATGGATTAATATATTGTTAATGATAGCATGGTTGCTTCAAAAATAATCTCATATCTTTATGATAAATGATACTACCATGGTTGCTTTATATCATTATCACCTTTACAAACAGTGATGACTGGGGGATGGTTTATATGGTTTATGGTATTGCTTTAACCACATTAATCCACCATAATCATCCCCTTTCTAATCATCAAAAAGCCACATCTCTCTGGTAACTACTAATTCATATAGCTATATTAGATTACCCTATATGAGATAAGATGTTCATTCTTTTTTATCTCTGGTAATAACTAATTCATACAGCGGCAAGATTCATCTCATTTATCTTACCCTCTGGTAAACTAACATAGCTATGGAAAATCACTATTTTTAATGGGTAAATCCACTATAAATGGGCATTTTCAATAGCTTTTTGTATGTTTACCAGAGGGTAATCATTCTCATCCCCTGATGTTTCTCACCATGACATCCCCATGAAATCCCGCCGTGAAACTCCCGGCGACAGCCAAGGCACTGATAAAGATCAGCCACAGCACCGCCTGACAAAGGCGAGCCTCACCAATCGTCCTGGAAAAATTAGCCATGGTGAAGCAGGATTTACCCAGCTAGAAAATGGTTGATGAATCATGGGATGATTAGCCATTAGCATGATTTTAATGACTGGTTGGGATGATTAAAAATCCATAGAAAGAGAATGGATTTACCCAGCTAGAAAATGGTGGTGATTTTCCATAGTTATAGTATTCAATACCATATCTGGTTGGTGGTTTCAACCAACCCCTCTGAAAAATGATGGAGTGAAAGTCAGTTGGGATGATGACATTCCCAATATCTGGAAAATACTTAATGTTCCAAACCACCAACCAAATGATGATTGATGATGATTGATGATGATTCATCATGCTTAGTGATGCTTAACAATGGTTAATAATGGTTCATTATGAATGATTGCTAATCACGTGCAGTTGTGGATAAGAATTGAACGTTAGTAATGGCTAATAACAGCCATTAGAATAGAACTGTATTGCCAGTAAAACTAATAATAGTGGTACTAACCGCTTAAAACAATTATTATACAACTAAAAGTGCCTTTTATTGGCAATAAATTGATAACCATGCAAGATTTTGACCACTAAGCCACTTAGTAAGCATGGGGGAGGCAGGTAATCTATCTGGACATATTGCCCCAAACTGTGACGAATGGGGAATGACCCAGAAATGAAGGTGATTTATCAAATGAAAACAAAAATCAGTAAATGGAATCTAGACAATGATGTTCTTTTTTAATTTGACCATCAATACGTTTGTTCCATGTTACCCTCTGGAAATTTGTTACATAGCTATTGAACATGGCCATTGAAATAGTGGATTTACCCATTGAAAATGGTGATTTTCCATAGTTTTTTGTATGTTTACCAGAGGGTTCCATGTTAAATGCTGCTGGTGATATAAATCCACGTGATTTTTTGCCAATCCATCCACCATGGGACCGTTAGGCGTCCTCCTTTTTTGACAGCACTTGCAGCAGCACTTGAGGCAGCACGGGCAGCACACGAACCAACAACAAATGAGCCACAGCACGAAGAGGACGATGGAGAGCCTGGGATGTTGGCAGGCGATAGGTACCCTCTGGTTATGTCAAAATAGCTATTGAAAATGGCCATTAAATTATAGTTGATTTTCCCTAAAAAATGGTGATTTTGATAGTTAACACTGGTTAGTTAACACTTAACACTGGTTAGTTTGATAGTTAACAATGGTTATCAATGGTTAGTTACGCTTCATGTGGATATCTGTGGATAAACGCCACGTGTGTTGTATAACATTCCCCCATGCTTGACACGCTTGCTTCAATCCCAAGGCTTCATGCTTAGGATGATCAACCTTAACAACCTTCAAAGGGTAAGGTCAACCCCGGCTTAATAAACCTCGGTGAAACATATGAGGGAATTACCCCAAAAAGTTACCCCCAACCTGGGAGATACGGTGGTCGATTTGATACGAGAGATTTCTTGGGTCTTATCCCAAACGAAAGGAAAAAGTCTAGTGATAGAATGAAACCTGTTGAAACCATCCTCAAAACCATATGGTTGGTGGTATACCTATCCCTCTGAAAAATGAGTTCGTCAGTTGGGATGATGACATTCATTGACATTCCCAATATATAGAAAAATGGAAAATGTTCCAAACCACCAACCAGCCATTCCTTAAGCTTTGTAGCTAATTACTGCAAGTGTAGATCTTTTCGTGTCAACGGTTCCTACTGGGTACGTGATCTTTTTACCTCACCCATCTTGAACCTGTTTCGCCCCAAGCTCTCCTTCGAGGCATGTCCGCTATGAGGACAGTTGATTCCAAAACGTTTGTTGCTTCGAGGCATGTGCCGAAAAGATGGGCAAACGTGAAGATGGAGTGAAAATCGATGAAAATCGTGTAGAAAGCAGCATGTTCAACTCACCTGTCAAAACACGTTGGGGTATCTACCAGCCCGACACCTTTTTACTGAAATGCCCCCCTCCAGTGATGTTAGTTGGCCTAAAACTAGTTCGATATATCTACCATAAACCCAACAGTTAACCATAGTGAAGCAAACAAACTTGGCCTAACATCAATCGGCTAATTCTATCACCTATAAATCAGTAAACCCTCTGGTAATTTAACATAGCTATTGAAAATGGCCATTATTAATGGGTAAATCCACTATAAATGGTAAATCCCTGTGCTTTCTTGGTAAAACCATCATTTTCATGGCGTAACAAAGCTTTTCCCCCCACAAAAGACATCAGCCACCACCGGTCACCACCCTTGCCCCCGGCCAAAAAACACAACCGCGAAGGCCTTGCCGACGATGAAACCGGGATCAGTCACTTCAGCCCTGGGTGCGGTGCCAAGCCCATGAGGAAAAGACTTCAATCCCATTACCCTCTGGTAAACAAACATAGCTATTGAAAATGGCCCATTTATAGTGGATTTTCCAATTAAAAATTGTGTTTTTCCATAGTTATGTTAGTTTACCAGAGGGTAAATAGATGTAAATAGAACAAATAGCAACATGTTGGCTGGACGGGGGGGGTTAGCCCCGTTTTTACTGGGTTGCTTTTGGGGTTGGGGGGGGTGGGGTGGGATGTCAACGTTCATGTTACGCTGATGATGTTACGCTGATCATCTGGGGTTGGGGTGGGGTGGGGTGGGATGTTAACGTTCATGTTACGCTGATGATGTTACGCTGATCATCTGGGGTTGGGGAGGGGTGGGGGGGGATGTTAACGTTCATGTTACGCTGATGATGTTACGCTGATCATCTGGGGTTGGGGTGGGGTGGGGTGGGATGTTAACGTTCATGTTACGCTGATGATGTTACGCTGATCATCTGGGGTTGGGGTGGGGGGGGGTGGGATGTTAACGTTCATGTTACGCTGATGATGTTACGCTGATCATCTGGGGTTGGGGTGGGGTGGGGTGGGATGTTAACGTTCATGTTACGCTGATGATGTTACGCTGATCATCTGGGGTTGGGGTGGGGTGGGGTGGGATGTTAACGTTCATGTTACGCTGATGATGTTACGCTGATCATCTGGGGTTGGGGTGGGGTGGGGTGGGATGTTAACGTTCATGTTACGCTGATGATGTTACGCTGATCATCTGGGGTTGGGGGGGGGTGGGGTGGGATGTTAACGTTCATGTTACGCTGATGATGTTACGCTGATCATCTGGGGTTGGGGAGGGGTGGGGTGGGATGTTAACGTTCATGTTACGCTGATGATGTTACGCTGATCATCTGGGGTTGGGGAGGGGGGGGGTGGGATGTTAACGTTCATGTTACGCTGATGATGTTACGCTGATCATCTGGGGTTGGGGAGGGGTGGGGTGGGATGTTAACGTTCATGTTACGCTGATGATGTTACGCTGATCATCTGGGGTTGGGGAGGGGTGGGGTGGGATGTTAACGTTCATGTTACGCTGATGATGTTACGCTGATCATCTGGGGTTGGGGGGGGTTGCTACGCTCAGAAGGTCTTGGGGGCAGTGTGTGTGCACTTGCTTTCGATGTTGATGGTACGCGAAGAACGTATTTGGGGTTGGGGGGGTTGGGTCTGTGTTAACTGTATGATATATTTACTGTATTATATAATTATATATTTACTGAATAATATATACTTGTCAGGATGATTTGCTTATGTAAATTTCACCGGTCATGTCTGCCTGCTACCTGCGCTGCAGGTACGCATCTCAGATGTTGGGGCTGGGCTGCATTGGTGTGTCAGGGCTGGTTGGAGTTCTTGGTTGCGTGAGAGTTCGTCAAGTTTGCTTAGACATATAAGTTTCCAAAAGTAGTTCGTAGTTACATGGTTCAAACGCAAGAAAGGGTTTAACGCGAATATCATGGGAATGTCATGCTTGTCTAGCACAGCTTTGCTTGTGTAGCTCGCTGCTGGGCTCTGTTTCCATGGATCCGCTTCTGTATGGTGTTACATTGTTAATTCTCCTCCGCGCAGCTCATGAAAAGTTTCAACCTGTCTGTGTTCTTTGGTCCTTTTTGAGCACGGAAGAACTGTGGGATGTTCACTACATCTTAGCGTTGAAATGGCATGGGGATGCTGGAGCTGAGACCACCTTTGCTGCAGTGGAACGAGTGTATCATTGGACGAGCCTTCGCCAGGGTTTGTCGGTTCTCAAGGAAATTTGGTTTCGTTATGTGAAAGAACATAGGCCTCTGCCAGTGAAAGTTCTTCAACAAGGTGAATGGTTGCAGAAGCGGCTACGTGGAACAATGCCGCAGAGCTTTCCTGACTCAGAGTTGGCTGAACCTTGGGACTTTCAATGTGAAATGATGTTGCAAAATTTGCTGGAATCTGGGCAGCCCATTGAGCCGCTTTCGACTACGAGTTCTGGTGTCAACAGAGAATTTCACAAGAAGGGTCTCAGCTATTCTCCCGGAATCCGTGGGAAATTCAAAAAGTACCGTGCTTTGCGAGGTCTCAAGCAGATTGACTTTGCATCCTTAGCCTTGTGGTCTGAAATGCGGTGCAAAAAATACCTGGAAGCCAAAGGTTTCTTCGGGGTGCAGTGGGGACGTCAGTGCTGGAGATGTCAAGCATCCTTGAACCAGCTTCAACAAGATCCTGCCTTACTGCGTTGTTCGAACCGTTCTTGTCCAGCACTGCGACCTCGCATCTTGGTATGGTTTCATTTTTTTGGATCCATCGCAAATGATATACGCATGTTCACCTAGTCTTCGACTTGTGCGTTTTTCAGTTGTGGCCGTTCTTGCCTGTAGGTGTCAATTGGAAATTTGGCTACACACCCTTCATCAACCGACTGAGAGGTGGACATGAACCAGACATGCAAGGCTTCGTACGTACGGTTTATTGTGTCAGTGCTAAGATTCCTCAAGATGCAGCTGCGCACATTGTTGGGCGATCCCATGACTATGTCGATTCCATTTACAAGCAAGCTCGCATGGTGACAGGTTGGGCTGAGTTTCAGAAAAACAAATCCATGACCTTTGACGCCGGAATCCTGGAGGTAGATTCGTGTCGTACGGCAACCAGAAAAAACAAGGTGGGGTCAAAGAAACGAAAAATGACAAAGAAGCCAGCCGGGAACACGGTTGCCAAGAAACCAACTTCCAAAGTGGCAGTGCATGGTGGTCGGTTTCTAGTGGCTGTCAGCAGAAAAAACAAACAAAGCGCTTTCTATCCTTTGCCTGACCGCTTCACGGCTACATCTGCTCCTGGCCCGCCAGAGACTTTAGACGAAGTTGTGCCGCTCTTGCAACACAAAGTGAACCCCAGCAAACACATCCTGGGCTCCGATGCCTCCAAAGGATTGAAGGGAGCTAGAAAAAAAATGAACTTGGAAGCAGTCACTGCTAGACATAGCTTGTCAGAATACACACCTGTACAGTCCCTCAAAAAGAGTAAGGTTTCCACAACAGCCTTGAAAGCCATTGGCTGCAAAGCAGCTCAAACTGGCCGGCATAAAGTAACCATGGTCGGAGGAGACCAGGTCGCAGAATCTCACACAGCTCTGCTGAAACAGCAGCTGAGACGAAACAATAAGCTTGGCGGCCTCTCATTGAAAACTGCACACGTGGATGGTTTGTCAGCACTTTACATTCACAAGAACTTAGGCCTGGAAGCGACTATGATGGCGTTCGCTCAATTCATTGCCCACATGACTGACAAAGTCAGTCATGTGAAATGTTTTGAAGATGTCTCGTGGATGGAAGACAAGTGAAAAAAAGGGCTCAACATGCAAATGTGTCGCCGCAACAAACCCCTGTAAAAGTCAATGACACAACATAACCATCTTTGAAAATTGTCATTTCGCCACGGCGAAACACTCCTTTTTGATCATGTGACTTTGCCTTTGACACATCAATGAAAAAAAGAGCTCAAAATGCAAATGTATCGCGGCAACAAACCCCTGTAAGGGTTGCTCCCAACATCCATTTTTTTGAAAAAATGAAAGTTATGTTGACACTGCTAAGCAGAACTCAAGTCAATGACACATCATAAGCATGTTTGAAAACTGCCATTTCGCCACAGCGAAACACTAATTTTTGATGATATGCACTTTGCCTTTGACAGACAGACGAACCAAAACAATTGGAAGCGGGGCTAACCCCCCCCGTCAACCCAACATGTTGATTGTTTACAACCCTATGATAGTATGCTATATTCTCATATGTACATGGTCAAAATTTGTTTGGTGTCTCCCAACTTACAAGTGTATTACCATGTTTATTCCCATAACCTCAACTGAACCCAAGTACGATTGTAAGCAACCAAAATGTTGCTACTTATCCTCTTTGATTACCAACAATAGTATTAAACAAACAAACAGGGGTGAAAAATTGGGGGTTCGATCGGCAATAAATGAGGATTACTTTAAAGACATGAAATCAAAATGAGGATTTAACCCAACAAGCAGGGATACTGCATCGCACGATTCGACAACACCACCCAAAGTGTGGTGGTGGCCTAGTGACCCATGGAGAAACGCCAAAAAACATCCTGCGATGTCTGCTGCCCGTGGCAACTGAAAAGTGAAAACCAGTGACTATCAGTGATTTGGCATGCCATTTGCCATTTGCATCCATTTGCCTATGCCATGACTTACACTTAGCATAACTGTTTTGTGGAGAACATACCTAACCCTTCTATGTTCATGATCAAAAAAGTGGGGACACGGACACACCAGCAATTCGCCCCGTCTTCACTTCCTCTCCCGCGGCCAAAGGACAGGGTCGTACCAAGCTCTTTGGGAGTTTGACCCTCTTGTCTTGCATAGCCTCCAGTGCTGGTCCACTCAGATTCCAAGATCTTAGAGGTGGAGCCATTCTGAACTTTTCTCCGGTGGCTATGTTCCTTCACATGGTAAGAATATGTTTAATTATGTTTACCATCTGGTTATTTAACAGTTTGCCATGGAAAATCACCATGTTTAATAGGTACACCATCTGTAAATGGGCCATCTATGCCATGGCAAACTGTTAAATAACCAAAGGGTAATTTATTTACGCTCAATGTTCAGTGGATTCCTAACAACTTATTACTAGTTGGTTTATATAATCATGCAACCTCAGTTGAACTAAGTTACTTGATCTTATAACTTGACTTGCTTGTCAATAACTGATACATCCCCATCCAAAGAAAAGTTAGATTTTTACTTAAGTTGCAACCTTTGTTACTCCATTTCCATCAGAGCATCCCATCCAGAAATCGTCATCACAGCCGCGCCTGCTTCGATGATTGCTGTGTAGATGAAATTATCTTCTCCAGCGCCCACCTGAAACGAAGATGGCGATCCTCTTGGCAATTTGGAAATTTACATATCATTATTAGATATATACAATGGATATGTTTTTCAAAATATAATATTCTCTGTTTTCAATATGGTAATTTGAGTTTGCGAGCTGAAATCACTATATTTAACAGTTAAATGATCAAAATGGCGCCATTTGCTGTAGCTAAGTTAGTTTGGGGCGCTCCATAAACATCACTAGAACCATAACAATGTGGATTTTAACCCATTGCGATTCTACAGGCAAAAAACGGGAACCTTCAAGCATTGGATCCGTTTTTGGGAAGTCAGTCTGACGAGAGAAGCATGGTCTATTTCTCCAAATAAAATATGGGGTTTCTTATGTTTTCCTGTAAACTGTTTCTCCGAAACTTCTGGGAAGGAAAAATGATCGGAAAAAAATTGGAAAGGACGTTCACCAGAAATTGCTGTCAGCTTGGAGGACCCCTTGAGGACTTGTTTGTTGGGTATTGAAAATCACCATGTTTAATGGGAAAATCATGGGAAATCGACTATAGCTATGTTAAATTACCGGAGGGTATCATCCATCAGCTAATTACATCACACGCAGAGATGCAGTTCCGAGATAGTCTTTGGGGATGAGCATCAAACACCAACCAGGGTGTTTCAGGTGGTGAAAAGGAGCCACCAACCAGGTTGTTTATTTTTGTTGGCGGCAAAAAAGGCGTTTCAAAAGAGGGATGCGTTTCAAAGTTTGATAAAGTTTGTTGTTTTACAATGTTTTACACTAAAAAAACAGGGAAGTGGCGAAAAAAGCTCATAAATACCGGGTTGCTCCCAACATGCCAGATACAACGGGCTTGAAACTGGGGTATATTCCTTTACTGGCTTGGAGCAACCCAGTTTCCATTGATATGAATTGCAAAAATATCCCAAATATCGATTGGTTAGTGTTACAACATTTTACCCTCTGGTTATTTAAAATAGCTATGGAAAATGACCCATTTATAGATGATGTACCTACTAAAAGTGATTATTTTCCATGGCTATGTTAAATAACCAAAGGGTACAACAAAAAAACAAGTTGATGAAGTTCTCATTTTCCCACTAATCTGGTAAACCCAATTTCATACACCATCCCCAAAATCACTATTTGTGTGGCTGGGATGTGAACCATCTGCAAATGCTAGTTGTTTATTTTTCGGTGGCCCACACTATGGTACATTAGAGTGGGTATATCTAATTATCTATCTATCTGTCTGTCTATCTAACCTAACCTAACCTAACCAAACCTAACCTAACCTAATCTAATCTAATCTATCTATCTATCTTTAATTGACATTTATATACATACAATAAATATATATATATGGGTAAATTATAATATTTCACTAACCTGAATTAAGGCCATTTGAGGATGATTTCCCTTACTAACCATGATTTCCAGTGAGGGAGAACAGTGAGGTCGTTATAATTTACCCAGATTTCATCATGATTCCTTACTGTCTGAAAATGGCTGATCATACATACAATACATATACATATATATATACATTAAGTTGAACGTTCCGGCCTGTGTCTGAAAGTTGCACTGGAACAGCCAGAAACGAGAAAACCTACAAAAAACTATGATTTTGCAAAATTGATGAAACGACAAAAGTGATAAAAACGATGGTTTTTGCAAAATCAATGAAACACAAAAAGTTGAAAAAACAATGGTTTTTGCAAAATCATGAAAACATCAAAAACTGTACCTATCTCCTCCCGGCAGCGATGCCCGGCAACAACAGTGAACCAAAGACATGGGAGAATATAAGGCTGAAAAGCAGCAATTCCAGACTATGGTACCAACATGCAAAGAACACCGGAATTTGTTTTGTGCGGAAATCTAGCTGTATCCACATGAATTGAATTGGAAACACTTGCTTGCAAAAAATCAAGAATTTGTTGGGCAAGTCGAAACACAAAAAGGCAGCGAAGTTTGCAGCAGTGATTTCAACAACGCATGTAGAGTCTTTGGTGCCGATTTGTCAATCGAAATATGCAGCACCAATTTCGTCGGAGAAGAGGATTAACTTTGGAGATACAGATTTCCACTTTCCCTGCTCTTCCGCGGACACCTTCTGCCATAAACACAGCCTAAAATGTCAAGAATATCAATATCTACATGTGCACATAGTACGCATAGTGCCCACAGCCAATTTTGGAGCGCCCATAGTGCCCACAGCCATTTTTGGAAAACTGGAAATTTTCCAAATTTCACCTTTTTTGAACCGTTTGGCATTACGCCCATAGCGCCCATAGTGCCCACAGCCAATTTTGAAAAACTGAAAATTTTCCAAATTTCACCTTTTTTGAACCGTTTGGCATCACGCCCATAGCGCCCATAGTGCCCACAGCCAATTTTGAAAAACTGAAAATTTTCCAAATTTCACCTTTTTTGAACCGTTTGGCATCACGCCCATAGCGCCCATAGTGCCCACAGCCAATTTTGAAAAACTGAAAATTTTCCAAATTTCACCTTTTTTGAACCGTTTGGCATCACGCCCATAGCGCCCATAGTGCCCACAGCCAATTTTGAAAAACTGAAAATTTTCCAAATTTCACCTTTTTTGAACCGTTTGGCATCACGCCCATAGCGCCCATAGTGCCCACAGCCAATTTTGAAAAACTGAAAATTTTCCAAATTTCACCTTTTTTGAACCGTTTGGCATCACGCCCATAGCGCCCATAGTGCCCACAGCCAATTTTGAAAAACTGAAAATTTTCCAAATTTCACCTTTTTTGAACCGTTTGGCATCACGCCCATAGCGCCCATAGTGCCCACAGCCAATTTTGAAAAACTGGAAATTTTCCAAATTTCACCTTTTTTGAACCGTTTGGCATTACGCCCATAGCGCCCATAGTGCCCACAGCCAATTTTGAAAAACTGGACATTTTCCAAATTTCACCTTTTTTGAACCTTTTGGCATGACGCCCATAGCGCCCATAGTGCCCACAGCCAATTTTGAAAGACTGCGCATTTTCCAAATTTTACCTTTTTTCAGCCTTTTGGCATAGCGCCGATAGCGCCCATAGTGCCCACAGCCAATTTTGAAAAAATGGAAATTTTCCAAATTTCACCTTTTTTGAACCTTTTGGCATAGCGCCGATAGCGCCCATAGTGCCCACAGCCAATTTTGGAAAACCGTGTTTTTTCCAAATTCCAACTTTTTTCAACCTTTTGGCATAGTGCCCATAGCGCCCATAGTGCCCACATCCATTTTTGGAAAACTGTGAATTTTCCAAATTTCACCTTTTTTGAACCTTTTGGCATGACGCCCATAGCGCCCATAGTGCCCACAGCCAATTTTGAAAGACTGCGCATTTTCCAAATTTTACCTTTTTTCAGCCTTTTGGCATGGCATAGTGCCTATAGAAGCGATTCCAACGTGTCCAATAGTTTCTGAGGAGTCTGAAGGCACGCATCTTTCACTGCTTTTGATTGCACCTTAAAATTGCCCAGGTAGAAAACCAGCAAAATCCAACAACATTGCCTTGCAGCCTTTCTCATTGCGTCACAAAGCCTCACGGAGGTTTTTGCGGAACCATTTTTTTACAATAAGGCAAAGAATGCGTTTTTATGCGTTTCTGATCGGACCACTTAGTGCCAAAAATGATTTAATAAAAAACCATAATAATTAAAGTGAATCAGGTAATTTGCAGCATTTCAAGTAGCGCTACATAGTCTACGTAGTGTCGCAAAGGATTTGGAAAAACACCTTATATTTGACAAGCCCGCAGAATATAGCATTCCTGGTAACGCAAAATAACGCCACGTGATGCCACTGAGGAGAATTATAAAATTGCACGTGGAAAAACCTGTTTTGGCATGTTTAATAGGGTCAAATAGAGCCAAAAGAGATAGGTACTTTCTGCGATGACCCAGCAAAATCATCTGTCACATGAATTTTCCTCTGGTTGACCATCTGAAAGTACATGAAACAGTGTCGTTTTCCCACTTTTCATGAAAACGCGAAAAGTAGTGTTTTTTAAGGTTTCTGAGTTTCACTAAAAACGCGATATCTATCAAAACTATGAGTTTTGCGTTTTCAGTGAAACTCAAAAACCATCGTTTTTTTTATGTTTTTTGAGTTCTGCGTTGTTTTCAACATCCCTTTCAGAAAAAGGCTCCACAGGCCTACAATGCCCATCTTAATATATACATACATATATATATATATATAGATATTATGTTCCCCCCCCGACCAGCCGCGGCCTTCAAATCGTCGATGGCCGCGGCCCGGTCCAGTTCCGACAGCTCCGTGGAGCAGTACCTGGGATTTCATGGCTTGCCGTGGGTTTCCAAGATATATATGGGTAAATATATATATGTGTGTGTATATGTTTCAATAGGTGCCCCGGCATCCTCCAGTTTTGGTCAAAGCAAGTCAAAGCCATGTCATGCATTGCATCTTACGATCATGTGTAATTGCATCTATTTTTTGAAATATGTTGAAAAGTACATGACATCATCAACATATGGTATGCCATATATTATTTTATGCAATGTTGCGGACCAGTTTTTGCCTGACTATCAGCCCAAGTGAGGCATCTCAACCTGTACAGTTAGCATGTCAGCACGAGGCACTGACCTTCAACAGCTGCGAAATTGAAAATTGAAATTGTAGTTATATATATATATATTATTACTCAATCACCAATTATTACATGTTTCTTTACTTGTTTTTGCGTTTTTTTAACATATGTAGTGTCTGCAAATATACCCCACTAACAGAAAGCCAGCGGAATTTCATCGGCGATTGCTCCACCGCTGCAAGGTGGTGAATGCTTGGACAAGGTGGTGCCCCCCCAGTTACGAGATAGTTTAAGTTGGTTTATAAACCATAGTAAATATAGATATCTATCTATATCTATCTATCTATCTATATCTATATCTATATATATATATATCTATATATAATCCATAAACCCTAGTTATTGGACTCATAAACCAACTTAGCTAAGTATGGGCCAGCGGCACCACCTTGGAGAATGTAGCTCCCAAATGACCCAGTCGAAAGTTCGTGGATTTTCCCAGCTACAAAATGGTGGATCTTTCCAGTTCGTTATGTAACAGTTTACCAGAAGTTTTTTTTGGGGATTTCCTGTATCGGATATCAGAGCTTTTTCAAGTTTAGCCAGTTCTACACAACTTTGTTTTTAGTCTACGGAACCTGCCCCTTGTTTTTAGGTCGTGTAGAACGGCTACTATCATATCTCAGGGTCTATAACTACCATCCCCTGCAGGGACTATGGCTGGAAGTTCTCTCCAAAAGCCTCCATCACAGCACCTCGATGTTACCGGAATCAAAAAGTCGTTCCAAAACAAACTCATTGGTTAATGATGGTTAATGATGGTTAATGATGGTTAATGATGGTTAATAGTGGTTAATGATGGTTAATAGTGGTTAATGATGGTTAATAGTGGTTAATAGTGGTTAATAGTGGTTAATGATGGTTAATAGTGGTTAATAGTGGTTAATAGTGGTTAATAGTGGTTAATTATGGCTGGCGGTTGGGCCACTAACCCCTCTGACAAATGATGGAGCGAGCGAAAGTCAGTTGGGATGATGACATTCTCAATATGATGGGAAAGTCATAAAATATGTTCCAAACCACCAGATATGGTATATTCCTGGTGGAAAAATCGCCAATCCATCCCCCCGGGAACTTGTCCACTGACGCGGCCGCATTTGCCAGTACCTGGTGAGTGAAAACACCGCCGACCCATCAATTTCCACCATTGAATTCTTGGAATCGGTGGATCTACGCGGCTGATTTTTGTTTTTTGGCTTTTTGGAAAACTATGGAAAACTTTGGAAAACTATGGAAAACTTTGGAAAACTATGGAAAACTATGGCTGGAACAAACATTTATGACATTTACCCTCTGGTGAACTAACATAGCAATGGAAAATCACCATTTTTAATAGGAAAATCCACTATTTCAATGGCCATTTTCCATTGCTTTTTGTATGTTCACCAGAGGGTATGACCATTCCGCCCCCCTTTTGGGGGTGTCATATGGTGTCATATTGCTGGCCCTTCGTCGATCCGATCCCTCCGATTTCGGTGGGAAGTGTCCGGCAGGGAATACCCCACCCGAATCTGTTTTTTTTTTTATTATTTCATCAAAAATGTAGCCATTTATGATCCTCATAAATCTGGTGCATATCAAAAATATCAAAAATATCAAAAATATCAAGCATCCTCATAAATCTGGTGCATTTCATCTGAACAATCTGAATACATGGCTGTTATCATACGTCCAATGGAGGATGCCCCCAAAGAAAAAAAAACGCACTAAAAAAATCATCATTCCGGTGACGTCAGATTGAGGTCATTATACATAAATATACATACCGTTTGGTTATTTAACGTAGCTATGGGAAAATCACCATTTTTGAGTTCGGTAAATCATGTTTTGTTTATCCCCTATAAATGGAGCATTTTCCAGTTCGCAAACTGTGAGTTTACCAGGCCGGGTAACTGGATTTTCCATTAACCACCATTAACCACCATTAACCACCATTAACCACCATTAACCACCATTAACCACCATTAATAACCATTAATAACCATTAACCACCATTAACCACCATTAATAACCATTAACCACCATTAACCACCATTAATAACCATCATTACCACCTATTTTAATCATGGATCATCTCAATAAAATTCCCCGCTGGATCTTCCGTTGGATTTCCTTCCCGCGAACTTCGCCTCAGCCTCGGTGTGAGTGTGAGTTTGAGCATGGCTCAAAGCCAAGAAAGAGATCAGCAGTGTCGCAATCCTCAGCTGGTTTTTTTTATGGTGGTTGAATGGCAGGTGAATAGCTGGTTTAATGGTGGTTGAATGGTGGTTTTATGGTGGTTTAATGGTGGTTGAATGGTGGTTGAATGGTGGTTGAATGGTGGTTTAATGGTGGTTGAATGGTGGTTGAATGGAGGATATTTGGTTTAATGATGTTTCATGAGAGCCGGCACTTAGTATCACAAAAAGTGACTTAGTGGCTGGATGGCCATACAAAAAAATGGAGGTTGTTCGCTTTCTTTGGTTCTGGCTCAAAAACACAGGGTTTTCTATTGGGATAATGAGATGGGATGATAATAGACATATCATGATTATAGTAATGGATTTACCCAAAACGGTCTCATCAAACGTGGCTGGCTGGGAAATCCCCGAACTAAATGGAGGTTTATAGCTGGAAACGTCATAGAAATTCACGTTGGATTCTCCATAGCTATGTTAAATAATGTTAAAGAACCAGGGGGTAAATCGTTGACGACCATAGTTGACAACTAGGCCAACAAACGTGGGGATCTAGCAAACAAAACCGGGATTTAATCAACAGAAATGGGGATTCATAGTTGCTATAGCTGATTTAGCTTTAGAACACATAAGCTTTGAGTTCGTTTTGATGAAATCACTATAGATCTATAGTTAGATGGGTTTGTAAACCAACAAACCACCCATTGCGGGGCACCAGTGTGCAGGTCATTTTGGCCGGCTTCACCCAAACAACCCATCACTGCATTCTTCACGGAAGATTTACATCATGTGGTCCCAGTTGGATCACTGTACTAGTGGAAGTTTGGCCCGTTAAACCAAACAAACAACTGTATCTCATTGATGGGTTCCGTTTTAAAATCTGTTGGGATCCATGTTTTAAGTTTGTTGGTCAAATCAGATTTATGTTGGTTAAATCATCATTTTTGTTGGTTAAATCACATTAAATCAGGTAAAATCACCATATTTGTTGCTGAAAGTCACCATGAGATGATACATATGTGTATATATATATACACACACATATATATATATATATACATACATATACATATATACACACACATATGCAGAAAATATATATGTTTATATATGCGTGTGTGTATGTATATGTATATAATTATATCATTATATATTTAATGTTCTCAATGGATCTTTGTCACACCACCGGTCGTATCTTCACCGAGTTTCATCAGTGTCTTCAAAGGAGCTGATGACACAGCGCTATTGCGGGCAGTTTGCGGCGTTGTTTTTGACCCAAATTGCTGTCAAGTTGAAAGTTCAAAACTCGGATCCCAGATAATTGATGTTGATTAGAAGGAATCAGGATTTTGTTGGTTGGACTTATCTATGATGGGTGGTTAGACATCTCCGCATGAAACATAGCTGATCTATGCTGATCTTAGATAGCCAGCATCATTTTTACTGCTTGGTAGCCTAGTTACGTACCTATCCGGCAACTCATAAAATCACCAGACTACGCAGCCAAGGTTCACTCAGTGGTTCGGGCGCAAGGTTAGGGCAATTTTCACAAATCCATCTCGTAATCTGTTACATAACTATGGAAAATTGCCCATTTCAAGATGATTTATCTATAGAAAGCGGTGATTCCCGGGTTGAATTAGCAGAGGGTACTGGAACATCGCCATTTAAAAACCATCCAACATGATCCATATCCCGATTATATCCGTACGGTATCCCATTGCCTCCCACCATTGTCTCATGATTATCCCATGACCAATAGTTGTCATGACATCCACCCAGCCATCCATGTCCAAACCCGAGCCACAGTGGTACTTCCGGTGTCTTGGAAGGAAAAGCCCCCAGGGAAGTGCAAACAGCATCTGACCTGGCCCAGCCACAGCAGGTGGATTTTGGGGGCCATGTTGACATCTATCCACTGAGAAATCCCAGATAGAAAATCGCTGAAAAACCCATCAGTATGCTTCCGAGGGGAAATCGTTAAAATCCTCAGTTCATCATCGGGGGATTCCCAATTTTTATTGTTATTCTCATTTATCACTGGATTGGTTTAAGGGAAAATCTACAGGAAACCATGGTTTTTACCATCAAATATAGGGCTTTCCTGTAAATTTTCCCATCATGGCGTGCCGGAAAATTCCCCTTTTTTCGTTCGATTTTCCCAGCGAACGAAACCTCCATTCACTTTGGGGATGTCCCATTGCCAGCCACGGAGCTGATGACACTGGAGGCTAAATCCATTAATATCCCGTTTTTTTCTATCCCATGGTTGTTCCATGATTATCCGCATAAAACCATATAAAACCATATAAAACCATATAAAACCATATAAAACCATATATTAACCTTAAATAAACCATATAAAACCATATTATCCCGTGAAATATCCCGTTATTCAACCGCATAAACTTTACCATCTAAAACCATCCCGACTTGTAAAAACGATGCAGTCATGTCCAGTGCACCTCATCATTGCCGTGGAGCCGGAAATGATGTCCGGCACCGGTGACCTGGGGAAGAAAAAGCGAAAAAAGGTAGAAATATGTGTCACTGATACCCTCTGGTAAACATACAAAAAGCTATTGAAAATGGCCATTAAAAGTGGATTTTCCCATTAAAAACGGTAATTTTCCATAGGATCCATGGTGCTGGTATATATGCTAACATAAAGGGGGTATATTGATGGTAAATGTTACCATATATAGCATACATGGATCCTATGGGTATGCCTCAAATATCTAAGCGTTTGGAACTTTTAAACCAATTAATATATTTAAAAAAAAGAAAAATCATTTGATGTGTTGTTTTTTGTTTGTTCTTCGAAATATTCTGGGCGGCATCTCTGCTATTTGTTTGCTGTTTCAAGTCTTGGATATGTTAAGGTACACCCAAAACCCAAACTGGTTGGTGGTTTCAACCCCTCTGAAAAATATTAGTCAGTTGCGATTATTATTCCCAATATATGGAAAAATAAAAAATGTTCCAAACCAGGTAACCAGAAAAAAAGGAAAATATTGTCCACATTAATCAGTGGGCATACCATTTATCATAGTTATTTTCCATAGTTGTCATAGTTATATACATATCCATAAGTAGTCATATACAGTTCCATAGTTATTTTCCATACTTGTCATAGTTATATGCATTTCTAGTTAATTTATATACATTATACATGTCCATACTTATATACAATTCCATCGTTATTTTCCATAGCTGTCCTATGCGTGGTGATTTTCCATAGTTCATAATGGTGACATTTCCATAGTGGTGATAATTTTCCATGGCATATATATATATACCATCTGGTTATTTAACATAGCCATGGAAAATCCCTTATAAATGGAGGTATTCATGGGAAAATCATCTATAAATGGGCCATCTATACCATGGCTATGTTAGTCATAACCAGAGGGTAATTACCAAAAATGAATGTTATAAACTATCCCCAAAAAGAATCTTGTCCATATTATATATATATATATATTTCCATAAAATCACTACAGTCATGTTCCATAGTTGTCATGAATGTTTTTTCCATAGGATTGGTTTCAACATTGAAACCGGAATCCGCCCCATGATCTTCATGGCTTCATGGTAAAAAAAAATGGTTTCCGGTGTCAATTTTCCCGTGAAAACCAATCCAATGATTATCACTGTAGTTGATTTCCGTAGTTGTCATAGTTGAATCGGTTTAATAACATACTCCTGGTAAACTGTTACATACCTATGGAAAATCACCATTTTGTAGCTTGGGTAAATCAACTGTAAATGACCATTTTCCAGTTCGCAAACTGTTGACATAACCAGGTTGGGTAAACCTCCATTTTCCTATGGTTTTCCTATGGTTTTCCTATGGTTTTCCTATGGTTTTCCCATTAAAACCTCCATTTTCCCATGGTTTTCCTATATCTGTGTCTCATTCCCAAAGGATCCCTTGGAAGTTCACGGCAACTATTCAGTGGCCGCCAGCCTCAAAGGAGGATCGTCGAAGTGTGCCACTGCCGTCCTTTTTCGACCAACCGGCGGCCAGCCGGTTCAATGGGAATATCATGGAGATACCCTCTGGCAAACTAACATAGCTATGGAAAATGGCCCATTTATAGATGGTTTATCTATTAGAAATGGTGATTTTCCATGGCTATGTTAAATTACCAAAGGGTATGTTATGGTGATATGGGATATAGTAGATATAGATATAGATAATGGTGATATATGGTGATATTATGTCATGTGATAATATCATAATTAAATTATGGGATATAGTAGACATAGATTCATCAAATGTCCATCTATTCTATTCATGCTGCACCCTCTGGTGATTTAAAAATGTCCATGGAAAACGAGAAAAAAAGTTAGATTGTACCTACTGAACATGGTCATTCTCAATGGCTATGTTAGATTACCAGAGGGTGATATCCCTACGAAACGGTTGATGTGAATGTGATTCCACGGGAAAGTCCACTGACATCCACCTAAAAAAATCCTTTTCATATCCTTTACCCTCCAGAAAATTAACATAGACCCTGCCAAACAGGGGTTGGAAGATTAGTTTCCACTTTATAAATTGGTAATTTTCAGGGTCTACCATCCGGTTATGACTAACATGGCCATGGAAAGATCCACCATTTTTAAGAACGGTAAACCATCTTTCTATGGGCCATCTATACCATGGCTACGTTAGTCATAACCAGAGGGTATGTTAATTTAGCAGAGGGTAAACCTCCATTTTCCTATGGTTTTCCTATGGTTTTCCTATGGTTTTCCCAGCTATAAACCTCCGTTTTCCTATGGCTTCCCCATGCTCAAAATCATTTTACGGCCCTTCTCGCGAAGCGCCTGCACGTCGATCTGAGCAGTGCAGTCCTCTGGCAGCACCGTGCTGTGCCTGCAGGACCGATGAATGGGATACCATTGAGTCGATTCGTTGCCAATCTGAAAATCCGTGCGTTTTCCTGGGAAAATGATAGACAATGGTTGGTGTTCATCTATGTAAATGTAGGTTAACATTACCAATCTTAGATAGCCTGCAAAAAATGACTAAAATTCTTTGCTGGTTGGTAGATATTCCCATTGATACTGAAAGACTAGTTAGGATTAAAGTCTCCATCTAAGATTAACCTAGAATTGGCATTACCATGGCTGATCAAACTCAATCAATGTAATAACAATATGGAAATATTGGTTGATGACGCCAATACAAGTGGGTTCATGGAGGGGTCTTAGAATCATCAGTCAATTGGCATTAATTACCATGGCTGATCAAAAGATAGTGATGTGGCAAACTCAATGCCATAAACTTCCCCAAAATCACAATTTTGTGGGTGGTATAGACCATTCCCAAATTGTAGTTGTTTATGGCATTGGGTTTCCCACATTGATAACGCTAAAAATGTCATGATAATGCTAATACTAGTGGGTTAAGATGAATGATTAAGATCATATTGGTAGCATATGGTGGCACGAATGTCAACAATACTCACGATGGTAATACCTGAAGTGTGATGGTGAAGTGTGATGGTTGCGCCCAAGGCCAAAACCATTTGTGACCTCCTGATGCTTGGCAAAAATGTGCCCGCAACACGTGCATACACACATGATATATGTAATATGTATATGCCATCTATTCATAATATGTGCACTCGTGTAGGGTAATATGCATACGGGCATAATCTGCATTAAAGTATCATTAAAGTTTTGCCATGCTTTGACCCTCTGCCTTCCGGGCGCACATGCAAAGTCCTGGCCATGGGGTGGTGCTGATGTGGTGATGGGAAAATATCAAATGGAGATTCATCCCCAAAAAACATATCCCAAAATATATACTACAAAAAATATCCCAAAATATCAAATGGATATTCATCCCAAAAATATATGGTATATCTAATACCGTACAATAGGTGTTGATTCATCCCCATATCGTGTTATCTTTAAGACCACGGGACCCAAAAAAAAATGCCACGGTTGAAGTATGAAGCATCAGTCTCGGAGTGCCCAACTTAGACGTGACCCAGATGTCGACCTAGGAGATTAAGTACTTCGATATTGGTGGTGTGATACAGGGATGTAGTGGGTATGTAAGAGGATAAGGTGAGAATATATGAGAATATGAGACATCACTCCAAAAACTCGTACTTACATCCACGTACGTACAACCAATGGTGGCAACCACCTTCGCATCCTTCGCATGTGGTGAAATTATGTGAAATTCGTTGCTCGGGGCCACCAATTGAAGCCATCACCATCACCATCACATCACTTCTGAATCTACATCTCTGAGACGTAAATCAGAACCCCCGAGCCCAAAATGTGAAACACTCAAATTCACATAGGCTATAGGTGTTTAGTCTCCATCTCCATCTTTTTGGCGGCTGTTTTTTGAAGAAACCGGATCTAATAAGAATCCAATAATCCATTGATCAATCATATATTACCCTCTGGTTATGTCAAAATAGCTATTGAACATGGCCATTTATAGTGGATTTTCCCATTAAAAATGGTGATTTTCCATAGTTGTGTTAGTTTACCAGAGGGTAGATGGTGTCTAGCCCACTATCAGTTACCCTCTGGTCATTTGTTACATAGCTATTGAACATTGCCCGTTTGTAAATGATGTACCTGAAAAGGGAAATGTCCCATGGCTATGCAACAAATTATCGGAGGGTCAATCCATTAATCCCATGATTATCACATTGTTCTAATCTTTAAAGTAATGGGATTAATCATGGGATTAAAATATATCATAATGTTAAAAATGATCCCATATATGGTTCATATTTTATTTTGTTCATGATGTATATAGCATTATTATCTCCTCAAAACCCATATCTAACCACGTTAAACTGCCACTGAACCTCCATATTATCCCATGGAATGATGATCATATGCCATGATTATCCCACTGTATTCTCTAGCAAACCATATCTAACCAATATTACCCCACCGTTAACCATCATTAATCATTATTAACCATTATTTGACCATTATTAACCATGATAATATTCACTATGAATAGCGATTTGTCCCATTGTATCACCATATCAAAACCATATCTAACCATATCTGGTTGGTAGTTTCAACCATCTTGAAAAATATGAGTTCGTCAATGGGAAGGATGACATCCCATATATGAAATGGAAAAATAAAATTCATGTTTGAAACCACCAACCAGTTGCAGTAAACCATATCAAAACCATATCTACCCTCTGGTAATTTAACATAGCTATTGAAAATGGCCCATTTATAGTGGATTTACCCATTAAAAATAGTGATTTTCCATAGCTATGTTAGTTTGCCAGAGGGTAACCATATTAAAACCATATTAAAACCATATCAAACCCATGCAATCACCACTGCGACTTCCCCCAGACACCGCCACGAAACCACGGCACCAGCCAGGGCAAGTGCGGAAAGGCTGCAGCGGCCAGGTGCAGTCCAGAGACCTAGCCACGGGGCCCGTTGAATGCTGAAGGGATGAGATTCATAAATTTTAAAATGTAGATGATTAGCAAATTTAAAAAAGTTACCCTCCAGTAAATTAACATAGACCCTGCCAGGGGTTGGAAGATTAGTTTCCATAAAAAAATGGGTGATTTTCAAGGTCGAACTGTTAATTTACCAGAGGGTATCATAAAATTACTCTACTAATGTTTTTAGTGAGATGGTAATTACTTACAGCAGCTTTATGATTAGCAAAAAAAATCCTCCAAATCATGGCAATGAATTCCATCTCACTCCGGACCCATTGTGAATCCACTGTCCAACCTCCCCAAAATCAGAACATATCGGAACATATCAAAACATATCCAAACCCTAAAAATAGGACTATATGGCCAGCTTATATTAAAACCCTATATATATATATATATATATATGGCAGTGTGTCAAAACCTTGTACCCCTTCTGTTCACATCAAAATAGCTGGGATTGATGGGTGTTCATCCCCCTAAAAATGCTATTAATAGGTATTGATCCATAGCCATATATGATAATTATATGGTATATAATGGCTAGATTATATTAAAACCCTATATAATATATATATATATGATAATTACAGTATATGTCCGTATTTTCTGTTGCTCCCAAGAAAAACCTCCGTTGCAACCGCCGCAAGCGACGCGTTGAACAAAACCCTGTTGGGCCATCGACCATGAAGGTGATGACCCGCAGCATGCGCTCCTTGGACTCTTCGGGCGCAGGGCCTCGCAGTGCGCTTCAGCGTCCATGAGGATTTGCTACAAATCATTCCACTGAATCATTCCAGTGAATAGCTAATAGAAGAACTAATTAATAACTAATAGTAGTAATAACAAATCATCCTATGGCTTTCTATAGAATACCTAATGATAGTAGATAACAATTCATTCCAGTGCAAAAACGTAACACATATATAATATATACAAATATCATAGATAATAACTATAGTATGAAATGTGGCTTCTATATCTAAACATAGTAATAGTATGTAATAGTCACATTATGACATCACTAGATTTCTGTTCAGGAAAATTTATCTACTAATCATATCGAATCATGGTGTTCCGTATATGTTTGTGTTCGCTGGAGGTTTCTCTAACCACGAGACAGTGTCTTCTTGTTGATTGGACCCAAGAATGGTGTGATTTCAGAGGATTTCAGCAGCATGAAACCTCGGGGACATGCCGAAAAGTTGGATCCTTTAGTTTCATCCCAACTGCGTCGGCTAGATGGCTAGATCTCACATTTCGGCGCGGTGTTTAATAATGTTTAATGGACCATGTCTGCTATATAGTTTAATCAAGTTTAATCCCATGTCTGTTTAAACTGCTCGAAACTATTTTATGTTCAATGGACCAAAAACGCTTAAACATGGAATTCTTTGGACGTGCTTATTTTTTTCCACCAAAGATAGATGGGTTACTAAAAAATATGGTAAAACCAGAACCGTGTCCGACCTGATCAAAGACAGTACTGATCCCATATTGACATTAGTAGGTATTAGATGTTATTAGTACCCAAATTTCCATGGTAAATTCCATTCGATCAACATTCTGCTTGGTTGCACGCGCAATTATTGCACCTCATCATATGGTCACCCCATCATATCACCAAATCTCCCGTTAAATCACGTCGTTAAAAGAGCCATATTCGTGGATTTGCCTAAGGCCAAAAAGAACTAAAACATATTCTTGGGTAGTAGATTCCCCAAGTAGTGAATAGTCCAATGGGAGAAAAATCATCTTCAGCAAATCCAAGTACACCAAGTACATCCCATTATATATCCCCACCAAATCCCAATTGAATATACCATGAATATCCATGAAATATATGTCAAATATATGGAGGTTTCCTAAAGTTGGGGGATACCCCATTTATCATCCATTTATAGATGTGACTATCCATGAAATAAACATGTAAATAAACCATCCATAAAATGGGGTACATAACCCCCTGGTATTCCAAATATCCTCTGGTAAACTAACATAGCTATCAAAAATCACCATTTTGCTGGGTAAATCCACTATAATATACTATAATTAAATGGCCATGTTCAATAGTTTTTTGTATGTTTACCAGAGGGTAACTCGATTTTCCATTAACCACCATTAACCACCATTAACCATCATTAACCACCATTAACCATCATTAACCACCATTAACCATCATTAACCATCATTAACCATTATATATCCCCACATATTCCGCACATCATCCCGGTGGTTGCACACCGGTCCCCTCCGCACCTGGGCACAACGTTGCCACGCAGGCCCAACGTGCCGCGAGACGCTGCGGGAAGTCGCCCAGCAGCGTCTGGCGGATGCAACGTCTCTTTCTGGTGAAACAATGATGACTCAAATGACTACAACATGTTTGTATATCTTACATGTATATACTATATAACTTATATAACTATTATACATCTAGTTAAGGAGTGGTAAGAAAAGGATGATGATATTAGTGCCAATCATCATCATCATCATCATCATCAACAACGCGTGTACAGGTTAAACCGGGAGAAGGCAGGTGAATCTGAACCCAACTTCCGATGAGTCATAGGGGATGGTTCATAGCAGTGGCTTTGCCGTTGTTTCCACAGGTTCCCAAATAGGAAACAGTGTGGGTAAAACAATGCCATAAACCCACCATCCCCAGGAAAATCACCATTTTTATAGGTGGTTTTTCAACTTACATTAACCACGTTATTCATTAATTAATAACTATTTTTTATATCCCATTTTCATATCCCATTCATATACCATAACTATATTCATTAACCATTCATTCCCAGTCATGGCTGGTAAAAATGGCGAGCTGTTTTTCCGACGGAAAATGGTCTCCTCGTGGGCCAAGCCCCGAGGTTTGGGTGCGAAGACTGCCATGATCGCTGGTGGGTTCTTAAAATAGGGGCACCCAAATGAGGATTTAAAATAGTACAGTTAAATAAAGAAAAATTGGGGTGTCAGCATTTTAAGAAACCTCCAATTCAGTATGGGTCACGTTGCGAAAAAGAGTGTCCTATGTTTGGAATCTGAATTCACCAAATTTGAATGTTGCATACTGCAACTGGACCCATGTTTAACCCAAAACATCCCAAAACTTGACCCAAATCTTTACTTTCTATTCACTTGATGTATAGGGGTCCCAAAAAGATGGAAACGTCTTTCCAGGATGTCATAGATGATATATGATATATTATTTACTTGATTTTACTTCATATATTTCCGGCTTCCGAACTGTTCATTCCTAGGAATCTAGGACTGGGGGTTGCATGGGGTTGTGATATATATATATATACATTTAATGTATGTAATTATATACCTATAATATATATATATACCATCTGGTTCTTTAACATAGCCATGGAAAATCACAATTTAGTTCGATGGTTTACCGTTCTTAAAAATGGTGGGTCTTTCCATGGCAAACTGTGAATGTCATAACCAGAGGCTACCTATAATATATAGATATATATGGTTTTCCTATTTTCCTAGGGTTTTCCTATGGTTTTCCTATTTTCCTATGGTTTTCCTATGGTTTTCCTATGGTTTTCCTATGGTTTTCCTATGGTTTACCCAGCTATAAACCTCCATTTTCCTATGGTTTCAGATATAGGATTTCACCAGTTGACCATGGCGGAAGGCACCTGTGGCAAGACTCCATGGGGTCTGCTCACCACAAAGACCTTCACAACGGCCCCGCGGTGAACCGTTGAAATTCGTTGAAGCGTTGAACCCCCACACCCTGTGCTGGGAAGATCTGGAAGGTGGTTTTAGATGATGGATAAGAAAACTATGAAACCATAGGAAAACCATAGGAAAACCCTAGGAAAACCATAGGAAAATGGAGGTTTACCCTCTGGTAAACATAGAAAAAGCTATATTGAAGCCATGGCCTAGTCGAAATAGTGGATTTACCGATTTACCCAGCTACAAAAGAGTGGATCGTTCCAAAGCTATGGTTGTTTGCCAGTGGGTATTTATTCAAGTATTTCTGGTAAACTTCAATGTTCACCATTATTCTGATGCGAAATTTGCATAGCCTTTGGCAGTCCATCATTGGGGGCTTTGAACACACCTCACATGAACCTCCTACACTGGTGTAAACCATAAAAGTTCAAAGGCATGCTTGTCGGGTCAAATATACCTCTTCCTATGATTGCCAAGTAATTATCTCAATATTGCCTTGGTATGTCGACTTGCATGTTACACAAAATTTATGATACTTAGAACTATAGTTTTGGGGGTTTATAAACCTACTTGTAGCTATAGTTATTGGGGTTTACCAACCAACTTATGAACCAACTTGTCTGTGTGATCCATTCTAGGCACGCAGTGAGCATTCATTGTTCCATGCATTGGTTCGTGAATGCACTGACGCCCTTGCCACAAATTAGATGGACCATTGGCTGATTTTTTCTCAACTATGTAGGGGTATATTATCCCCACTGCTGCACTCAACTAACAAATTCCATGGCCAAATTGTCCATCTAAGTGGAGATGGACTTAGCAGAAATGCTGGCTTCTGCTAAGTTACTATACTGGTGGCTTCCGCCCCATTCGCAAATCATTGGATTGGTTTAAAACTGGGAATCTAGAGGAAACCATCGTTTGTAGAATCAAATGTCATACCCTCTGGTAAACTAACATAGCTATTGAAAATCGCAATTTATAATGGTTTTACCCATTAAAAATGGTGATTTTCCATAGCTATGTTAGTTTACCAGAGGGTAGCTGTCTGGCAGATCTCCCCATCATCCAATTCAGCTCCGCAGAAAGTTGGACTGAAAAGTGGTTATGCGAAACCTTACCATTACCCAACCTGGTAATGACTGTTACATAGCTATGGAAGCCATGGCCCAGTCGAAATGTCGTGGATTTAGCCAGCTAGAAAATAGAAAATGGTGTTGATTTTCCAGTTCGTTTTTTGTATGTTTACCAGAGTGTATCATATATTATCATATATGATGTATATGGGGGATAAACTATGATAGCCTGATCAAAAAATATCCCATGATATCTCCGTGTATGATATATGATATGGTAAACCTCCATTTTCCTATGGTGTTCCTATGGTTTTCCTATGGTTATCTCCAAAAAAAGCACGAAACATCCAGTGGAAATGGCTGGGAAATGACGCCCTTCCAACAGGTTGGTGGATGAATGTGGATCATCTGGATCATCAGTTTGGACAGTTTGGACTACCCAAACCATCTATAAAGGGTTAATCCATGGTTAATATATGGATATTCTATGGTTCATGGTTCATAGTTACCCTTTGATAATCTACATATGTATCTAATCCAGATATAATTTATCAAGATTAATTATCTGGTTGGTGGTCTCAACCCTACCCCTCTGAAATATATTATATAGTCAGTTGAGTGTATTATTCCCAATATATGGAAAATAAAAAATGTTCCAAACCACCAACCAGTACATATATACATATGTATGTATATATATATACATGGAATATGTTCAGCTAGTAAACCACTTACTAACCTTGGATTTTCTTCCCCCATATCCCCATATCCACACGCCGTTTCCACCTCCTTTCCACCGCGCAAGGCCTGCCTCCCAATCCTTGGTTACACAGCGAGCTCGGTGGAAACCCTGGAATCTTCAGGCTGAAGCTATGGTAAAAATGTGATGTTTGCCACCCATCTATATGCAAAAACTGAACATATCTTGTCTGTAATTTATAATTCTTGATATTTAGAGATGATGAGATGATGTTCCGGAGAAAAAAAACTGGAGAGTTCTGTTTGCCGGGCTGGATCACTGAGGGGTATAGCCAACTCACACCATAACAGAAGAGTAATTTCCAGGAAATGGTGGGATTAGTTTGAATTCACTATTCTCTCCTCTTGCCATATTTGGCATCTTGAGGCTACATTTGGAGAGAAATGGGGCAAGGGAAGGCCCACAAACCTCAAGACATGGTGTGTCTCAGGCACTTTTTGCCACTTTGGGACGCAAGATGTGAATATCACACGCAAACCCCAAAAAAGTGTTGCTGGTGTCGTGATGGCTATCCTTAACACAGTTCACTTCTCCATAAGCTGAAAATGGACCGGCCCTAATAATGGTTAATAATGGTTAATCATCATTAACAATGGTTGACCATGAGGGCCAATATTAACCATTATTAACCCTTATTAACCATTATTAATGGCCATTTTCCATGCCCTTTTTTCCGTCTCGTCACACCTCACCCAATTTTCAGAGAAATCCACCCACTTCACCTTGGGACCCCAAACTCCATGAGCAGGTCCACCCAACTGGGCCAAGCACAGTTTCAATATGAAACATGATCCACCCTAGTGTCGGGCAAACTTCAAATTCCCCTGTGGGTTTCACCGGTTTCACCTTTCCAGAAAGTGAACCGGGAGAAATATGGGACAGCAATCAAACTGAGAACAATCATTTCATCATTTCGACATTTCAGGGAGATGCACCAATGTTTGAATATGTTTATCAACAGAACACACGAGGCACCATCCCAGAAGAGGTGTGTCTTATTGTTTCTCTCCGGTCCTTCCGAATTATAATTGCTAGATATTGCTAGTTTTTATTGGTTAAGTCAAGTTAAATCCCATCCATGTTTTGCTGGTGAATGTTGGCTAAGTCACCAGTTTACCATTGGATCAGAATGGTTCTTAATGAATGGCTATAATACATGTCATCATATTAATAATCACCATTACCATTATTACAATTTATTAATAATCACCATTACTACTATCAGAATCATATTGTCATAGCATAAAGATATAAACTTCATCGTTTAAGAATACTGGCGTATTTGTTGAGTCCCAATCATGAACCAATCATGAAACGTTTGGAGATACACAACTGAAGCCGACAATCTAAAATCTGGTGTTATCTTATTTCATAGTAGGCTATGACATGAACTACAATCCATATGAACATTGTAGATCATATCAAATCACATCACATCACATCATTAACCATTAACCATTCATCATTCATCTATATATATATATATCATATATCATATCAGTATAGTTACATTGTAACCATCTCCAATGACACCTAGATGTGGCGTTCCGCTTTTCCAGGCTTTCCCAGGTCCTCCAGCAGTGTGGCGCGTTCCGCGTCTCTGGGCGCTTCCAACACTGCGCCTTGGCCAACGCAACGCGAAGCGCAACGGCGCAACGGAGGTTGACCGGCGAAGTGGGTCTTACCAACACAACAAGGGCAAAAATCATCAAAAATCCATAGACAAACGTGGGTTGAAGCAAATCAAAGTTGAAGTTTAAGATAGTTTAAGTGATTTCAAACACATTACTAACATTACACAGACTGTATCTTGATAAACTTGTGTTTGGTTCATCTCGTTGTTGTTCAAATTCCCTATTTGAGCAATAAAACCCACCACTCTTGCTGACATCCAGCTTCAACAATCATGGGTTTTACGTGCCGCAATGCCGGGTCTCACCGACACAACTAAGCACAACTAAGATTTGAAGCTAGCAGAAATGACGAGTCAAAGGATAAAACAGGAGGTAAAACCAGTGGATTTCTTGTCAAGTTATCCACTATTTAATTTAGAGTTGGTTCACTATCCATCTATCATCATCTATCAATTCAGCTCAAAAAAATGCAAATCAATGGTGTGTTTCTCTGATTTCATGCGGAGACACAAGGTGCTTCCCCCCCAGCTAAGCTGGTTGTTTCAAAAAACACTCACTAGTTCGATGTATCATAAACCCAACAGGGAATTTTTATGTAAACCCCAACTTAGCGATTTCTTAAATCAGCTATATCAAATTATCTCAACTATAAATCCCCATTGTTCCTGGTTTTTCATAACCCTTTCGGTGAGTTTTCCCAACAAACACGGGCGCGTTTTTCCACTTCTCTCCACGCCTTGCTGTCGCACGGAGCGTTGGAAGGGCCGGAGCAACATGGGCAGGACCTGATTCAAGCGGAGAGTCTGAGGAAGGTGGGAACCAGACTGGGTGTTACCCTATGGCAATCTAACATAGATGTGGAAAATCACCATGTTTAATGGGTAAATCAACTAATTATTTCTAAGATTCTATGGCTATTTTCGATAGCTTTTTGTATGTTTACGAGAGGTACCCTATGGGTTATGGTTTAATATGGAGGTTTCATATCCCCCTTGATTCAGGGGTAGGATGTCATGCACATCCATTTTATAAAAAAATAAACTCCGGTGCTATCCCCAACAGCTTGAAAGCTTCAGCGTCTTTTTCACACTGCGGCCGTGCGAGAACCCTCCGAAACCTCACCAACCATCATCATCAGAACCCACCGGAACCTCACCAAGCATCATCATCAGAACCCACCGGAACCTCACCAAGCATCTTCACCGGAACCCTCCGGAACGTCACCAGGTATCTGCACCGGAAGCTTCCGGAACCTCACCAGTTCCATTCTATTAAAAACCGGGTTGGGTAGCAAAACACTGCATTCAAAAGTGCTCAAAGAGATCTTAGAAGATCGCAACAGTGCTTGGTTTTTTCACCGTCCGCACGGATGACCTGTCGCAAATTTCCCACCTGCAAGATCTGTTCGCAGAAGATGCACATGACATCGGCAAACCAACACAACTCAGGCTTGAGTTGATCGCTTCTGCATGATTTGCACTGGGCAAACGCTGCAATCCCTGCAACTTGAAGGGATGGAGCCCTATAACTCCTGCAGAATGAGAGATCATCGTAGACTCGCTGGCCATAGTGTTCTGGCAAGCCAATGGCAATTTTCGAGAACATACTGTTCTAGTAGTATGCAACATGGTCCAAGAATGTCCAAGAAATCTTTGCATTACCCTTGGACCTGAAAAAAGTGCACGGGAAAGGCTGTGCAAGGGAGCTCTGCAGAGCGTCGAGGTCCAGCAATGAAAGATGAAAGGTACGGGTCTTTACCCCGATTTAGGGGTATGTTACGGTATGTTCCTTAATATCCAAAACTAGTTTTTTTAATATGACATGGGTCTGATTGGGTTTGTTGTTTTTCCATTTTGTAAGTTGCCCATGATTCATTCCATAGTGCTTCACTCAAGGGGGTTGTTTTTTTTTATATGGTTTCATCATGATCATAATGGGACAATTATGGGATAGTAGTGGGATGTTCATGGGAACAGTATACCCTCTGGTAATCAAACCGGACTAGCTGGAAAATCCCCTACAAATAGAGGTTTCACTGGGAACATTATACATAATCGTCCGTGAATTTTCCATTGCCGCGTTGGAAAAAACACCGGACGGTAAACTCTTAACTAACTATGGTCAGTGGCTGGTCGTTTCAACCTTCGAAAAGATATGAGATATATGATTAGTTGGGAATCTTCTTCATCCAAATAAACACTAAAACCAAAACATACGTGAAACCCCTAACTAGTGGCGAAATGGATGGGGATGTGATCAACAAATATAACTTATGACGTTCAACGGATTGGTTCTGTTGGGAACAGTTGGGAAAAAAAGAGGGTTCCTATGTTTTTTCCCGTTAGCTGCATCTGAGAGGGTAGAAAAAATGATGAAATTTCTGGTTGTTAGCAACAAAGTTAGTTTCGTGTGTTTACGTACGTCGTCCGTCATGGCTTTTCGTTGGACCAAGCACCGTCATGTTTGATGGGTAAGCCGGTGTCCATATGGTGAAATTTACGTGGAATATCAGGAGGTACCCATGGAATGCCAATGGATATTGACTAATCAAGGTCACGCACGATATGGTCAAAGGGTTGGCTGCCAAGGAACAAGAATTCATCCACTTTTGGGAGTTTTATGTGGGGCAAGGCAGGTACCTAATGTCAATCTGAATAAATCAAACCTGACTTTGCCTAAGGCAGGTTACCAAAATAATTAGTGATCATGAACCAGTTACATGGAGGTTTCCAAAAAAATTGGTGTATCCCCTTTTCATCATCCATTTTTCATAGGAGTTTACAAGCCACAAGCCAGCCATAACTTGGGGATCATTTATGGAAACCCCCAGATATAAATGGCATTAAATGGTACACCCCCAAAACCCCAAATCTCCTCATCCCATAAAATTTGGGATCATCATCCTCGAACAGGGTCCGGGCGCAGGAATGCGGCGAAAACACTGCCATAAACCACCCATTTAAGGCCATTTGGGAATAGTTTATATTGGTTTATACTTACCATCTATTTTTCATGATTTGGGGATGGTTTATTATTGTTGTACCCACATTTTAAAAAAAGGAACAACAAAATCACATGCGGTTTCCGATTTGAAGTTTAGCACATGTACCCGTCTCTCAAAATATGAACCCGTCCGTGCCTGAAGCTGCAAGCTGTCTTTGAGCATTGCGCCGCTCCTGTCCAAGCGGTTGTATTATGGGGCCGTGTGGTATTACAGGTTTAAAATGACCATGGGTCACTCAAAATATGTGGCATGATAAGCCATTGATAGTTGGTATGATCATTTGTACTCCCTGGAAATTTAACATAACTATGGGAAAATCACCATATTTATAGTGAATTTTCCCATGAAACATGGTGGATCTGTCCATCGTTTTTGTAGGGGCAACGACTCTAGTGCTTAAAAATCACATAGGGATGATGGGTAGGCTGATTGACCCTGGTCATTCGAAGCCAACTTCTGCCACAATAATAATTGACGGGTAGTGGTCAAGAACGGTCATCATGCATGCCTGAATTTCATACTAATAATTACTTAACTTTACTTGACATGTATATATATATATATACCCTCTTGTTATTTAACATAGCCATGGAAAATCATCATATTTAATAGGTAAACCCATCTATAAATGGGCCATTTTCCATGGCTATGTTAAATAACCAGAGGGTACCATTCTATTGCTGACCATGGTCGATCTGGGTTTTGAATCATGGTCAACTAGGGGTCGACAGTCGACAGCTTTCCTCCGCTTCTCCCACTAAAAGCCGTCCTGCTGAAGCTGGTATTCAGCCTCTGCTCCATCCTGCTGATGCATTGAAGGACGAAAAAACCCTAAAGTAATCAATCGACATCTGGTTGAGTAATTTCAGGGAGTTGCTGGTCGCTTCAATATTTGTTTCGGGTTTTGTTTCTAGGAGGTTCTGCATTGGGATGGCTACATGGTTTCGTTTCAGTGGAAACGCAAGCAGCTGGGTGGTTCAAAACATCGCAAGAAAATGAACGATATATTTATCGCAGTGGATCATAATCCAAGATCACCACCAATGCAACCACAATAATCCAATTGATTGGTGTGGGGTTAATCACTGAATATAGAAACCTAACATTGTCCACAGCCAACTGTATGAATCACATCCCCACGTTTCATCACAGTGGAGAATCCGGCTGAACGGTAGTGATTGTCGAAGTTCATGTTGCTTATCAAGCCCTTTTGAAAAGGTGTGAACATGTGTGAAATCTTTTCATGTTGAGTGCTACCCTCTGGTAAACTAACATAACTATGGCAAATCACCATTTTCAATGGGAAAATCCCTTATAAATAGCCATTTTCAATAGTTATGTTACTTTACCAGAGGGTAAATATAAATATGCTGGATAAAGCTGGTTTCTCCATTCATCTGGATGCTTTTCAGACACATACAGTAGCTAGCTGCAACACGCTGCTTGCTCCACCAATCCACCAATCCCCACCGTTCGTCGCGCACCTTCCCATGGACATCTTTGGTCCAGTCCTGCACGGGGCACCATGGTGATATGTTGGGATGCGGCAAAGGATTGGGCCTGGGATGGCCTGGGAATGCCTGTCCCAATGAAAATGGAAGAAAATGGACACCCTTATCCACTGGGGTGCCATGACCATGAATGGTACACGGAACACCACCATGGCGGTTGTTTGGATCACATTCGGCGCATTCTCGTAGCCGTGGCAGCAGAACCAGATGACGAAATGCACCTCCAGATTGGTGACATGATACGCGTGCCGCCGGAGATCGTACTCAGACAATGGCATTCTGGAGTTCCAACTCTCGGAGATTACGAGAGAAGGCAACGGAGACCCGAAAATTTCAGCGCCGGAGATCCGCAGCACAAGAGCAGGCAATGTAACCTGCATCTGTTGTAGCCGACTGCATTGCAGTTGTGATTGCTCTCCAGTTTTTTATTTTTACCATCTGGTTATTTAACATAGCCATGGAAAGATCCACCATTTTTAAGAACGGTAAACCGTCTATTTCTATGGGTCATCTATACCATGGCGAACTGTTAGTCATAACCAGGTTGGGTAGCTGAGACTCGAGACGAGTCTACTCCTCAGGGGCTGCTGCAGTCCATCCGACATTTTCCGAGATCCCCTGTTTATTACCCTCCAGTCAAACATGGCAATGGAAAATCATCCATGTGTAGATTGTCCAATCGGAACCTCCATGGGGAAGGGCTAGTTTTAATTGCCATGTCTGATTACCGGGGGGTACATCCACGTTGGTGATCGAGTCTCCCTAATTCGGCTGCTGACAAACGCGATGTCTTCATCAAGTCGATCCTCTTCGAAGTCATCCTTACAGCCAGAGTGACATCTCCAGATGTAGATGTTTTTTTTTTCAAATCTATGTTAGTCATCACCATTTGTATAGGTGGTATAAACCATTCCCAGTCATGGGTGGTTTATGGCATTGTTTTAACCACATGACATATCATCCATACCCTCTGGTAAACTAACGTAACGAACTGGAAAGATCCACCATAGCTTGTAGCTGGGTAAATCCACCAAATTTCGATTGGGCCATGGCTTCAATAGCTACGTTTGACATAACCAGGTTGGGCCATTTGGCCATGATTCCCCCGATACGTATCATTCCAGTGACGTCACAGTGAGGCACATACGTATATATATATATATACCCTCTGGTGAACTAACATAGCAATGGAAAATCACCATTCTTAATGGGAAAATCCACTATAAATAGCAATTTTCCATTGCTATGTTAGTTCACCAGAGGGTATATACATCTGGGTAAATTATAATAATTGACTAACCTGAATCTTAAGGCCATTTGGGGATGATTCCTCTTACTAACTATGATTATAGTGAGGGAGAACAGTGAGGTCCTTATAATTTACCCAGATACATATAATTCATCCAGATCAAATGTGATGAAATCCTTGTTTTTATCTACCCTCTGGTAATTTAACAAAAAACTATTGAAAATTGCTATAGAAATAGTGAATTTTCCCATGAAAAATGGTGGATCTTTCCATAGTTTTTTGTAAGTTTACCGGAGGGTAAAACTCATCGTAACTTGGATAACTTGGAACCATGATTCACTTGCGCTCAATGAACTGGGACAGATACCCCAATCCAGAAAAACCCTCAAAATTAATGGATTTTTCCCGTGGTATAGATTATATCCCATTATTATCCCATGAAATCCCATGATTTTCCCATGATTTATGGGTTTTCCTATGATTTTTTGTGGGTTTCCCTATGTTTTCATACGTTTTTCATGCCTTTCCCTCCAAGAAACACCTCAAAAAAAACCGCCCTCCTGCGACTCCACGGCAACCACTCGCGGAAGGCCGCCTTGGGGAAGGTTTCATGGTGGGAGGTATGGTTTCATAATATATACGATTCCCATTACCATCTGGTTATTTAACATAGCATGGAAATCCCTACCATAAATGGAGGTTTCTAGCTGGGAAAATCATCTATAAATGTGGTTGGTGGTTGACCTACCCCTCTGAAAAATATGAAGTCAATGGGAAGGATTATCCCATATATTATGGAAAATAAAAAATGTTTGAAACCACCAACCAGTTACCCTCTGGTAAATTAACATAGACCCTGAAATAGTCATTGTTTAGTTGAAACTGATCTTCATCTGCCAGGGTCTATGTTAATTTACTAAAGGGTATATTTATTTGTTGTTACTATTCCCAGAGACTATTCCCATTAGTATCAAATAATGATATCTACTGGTGGGGATGAAACGTTTGATACTATATAATGGGAATAGCACGAGCAAATAAGTATAAATCATATGTTCTAGAAATCTCGGAAATCATAAGATATTTTTTGTGTTTAAGAAAAGGATTCTAATTGGATAATATATAATTAATAGTGGAATAGTTTCATGGAACCAAAATGTGCTTCAAATTACACCTTCCGCCGAGGCAGGAGCCACCAGGCACCCCAGGCACCCGCGCCAGAGCCGAAATTCTGCGCACCACGAGCTCTTCACGGACCTCAAAAGGGCCGAGGTCCGCCTAAGGTCCAACGAACTCATCGACATTGCCCGGTAAAACCGTAGTTTTTATGTGGTTCTATCTGGTTCTATGGAGGTTTGAACCTATTCATCTGGGTTTATGTGGTTTTATCTGGTTATACCATTTATGGAGTTTTTATGTGGTTTTATCTGGTTACCATCTGGTAAACAGCCACATAATTATGGAAAGATCCACCATTTTTAATGGGTAAATCCACTATTTCTATTGCCATTTTCAATAACTTTTTGTTAGTCATTACCAGAGGTTATATGGAGGTTTCCGAAAATAGAGATACTGCAGATACCCCATAAAAATATATAAAAATCATCCATTTGTTCAGAATGGATTTTCCATGAAATAAACCATCCAGCTTTATCCCCATTTATTGAAACCCCCTTATATTGGGATCATGGGATATGGATGTCGCCTCCGGGAAGACGAAGATTTATGGAGCTTCCAGCTGGGAAAATCATGGGATTTTCCGGCAAGCCATGCTTGATTACGGGAAGGCAATTGGGCTATGTAGTGGTTCTGACTAGTGGGCTGATGAGATATTAATAAACAAACTATTTACTAATTAGTGTGTTCAATCAACTATTAAATAGGCGATTAACAACTAAGGTGTAAGTTATGGCTAAAAATTGATGCTGCATGGTTATCTAATATTTGGTACACCGCGCATGACTCAAAATGTTTGGACATGTATCTTAATGGAATGAATTTGCTGAAATTGTGGTTTCTTAACAAGGTTTTAAAGGGTGCAAACACATTATCTAATACTTGGTTGGTTGACAGCCCTTTATCCAGCCATTATCTAATACTTGGTTGCTTGAACAATGATGGGAAAACCAGATGGGTTTGACCTGGGCCTGAAGAATCGGCAAGACATGGGAATCATGGGAATGCATTGCACAAAACAACGTGGAGAAACGCAATCACATAGATCTGGATAATTAACTTAGAAAAGTTGCCAAGATGTGTTGCGCCCAGTTGTGATGATCCGCTGATAAATGATGATGAAGGTATGTTTTTCCCATCTCTGCGATGCAAAATAATGTTTCATCATAGTCTTGCTTGCGTGCGTGTCCGGCATAGATGTTGCCACATTTCGTTACTCCTGCCGGGGAATGGTCAATACATACCAGTACGTCCGAATTTTGGGGGGATTATAGCCTGCTTACTAACCACAAATCATATACCCCCTGGTTATTTAACGTAGCGAACTGGAAAGATCCACCATATTGAATAGGTAAACCATCATGAATCATAAACCATCTATTTCTACTATAAATGGGCCATCTATACCATGGCTATGTTAGTCATAACCAGAGGTCATATAACTCCTTGTGCCGCCATGGTGTCTCCCCAAGCGCCCCAACGATGCGAGGAGCCCAGGGTACCCAGGGTAAAAGGTCAAAGCAGCACAGCCATAGCACTGCGCCTCGAACGTGCTAAACGTAGGGAATGGATAGGGGGGAATGGGATGATTACTACTAGTGATTATGGATCATTCCCTCATTCCCTACGTTTAGCACCAGTAAGTTTTGCGATGTTGACCACCAATAGACCACATTAAACAACAGCAAATGGAGGTCTAAAATGATCTAAGGTTTGTTTTGGCCACCCGTGAAGGGCTGCATTTTGGATGTGAAGCAACCAAGAGAGAAGGAAAACAATGGATGTTAACAATGTTGACCAGCGAAGAGATGTTGAGGAATTCTTGTTTTTGTGGGTGCAGGAAATAAGCAATCAAATATGCAAGTCATCAATCTTTTCATCGCAATCTACTTATGTGGGGGTTGGTTTTTGGATTTATGTGTGTGGCTATCTTGGGTGCCCCGCCTTCCTTGATAAAATTGCAATTTCTGCGAAATATGCGGCGGCATGAGGCAGCCGTGGCTTTATCGTCTAGATGCAAGGGCATCCAGCAAATTCAATCTGGCATTTTTTGGGAACCTGGTCGCAACATGTCCCAACCCAAAACATCATGGTGTTAATGATTTCGGACCCCACCGAAAAACAGTGACTCAAGGGTCCTCAAGTAAAAAATTTGGGGCACGAAACCCAATTTCAATTGCTTTCCGGTGCCGGTACCAAATTTTGAAGCATCTTACTTGTATAAGGTTTATGCTGGGCCTTGGTTTCAACTTGGTTCATAATCATACGGCCTCTGGCCTTTGTGCGCTTCTTGGACGCTTGCCACTTTGAATGGGCGAATGGAGGCGTCCTGGATTTGGAAAACACAAGACATGTAATCAGCCTTTTGGCCCGAAGTCTTGGAGGGGCTTGTCCAGGAAGTGCCAGGCATAAGATCCCAAAAACCAAATCTCTCTCCAATGTTTACTGTTTTTTCTGCCTTAAAGCCGCGCGGCGAACCCAGCATTCTTTGAAGACATCCCGCGCGTTCCCCTGCTTTTCACGGCCATGCGCCATGGACGAAGCTTTTCTGGCAATGACAGCAGGTCCCCCGACCCTGACTTGCAACTAAATCTTGGCCTTTCCTTTCAACATTCAAGCTTGCAGCAACTCGGAAAGGATGCTCGCTGCTGGAAAGTACTGATCACCATTTTAGCGTGCTTGGCAGAAGGGATTTTAAGTAGCAGAATCAAGACATGTCCAAACGAATAGAAGGCGCAATGATCATTGATGGTCTTGAGATTCATGGGCCTATCTTTATTGGGAAGGATTCCAATTCGGAGCTTGCTCCCAAACACAGTTCTAAGCTACGGGTGGGACAATCCACCTTGTTATTCCAAAGATGTGCCGGGTTGTTCAGTTGCCGTTCTGGATTGGGCGGCACTGGTATCTGGTTTGACTGGTATCCTCACATGTCCCAAGCAAATGCTCCAGAGCTTTGCTTTGAGTATTTAATTAGAATTGTCGAATATAGTAGCTCCTTATGTTCTACCTGTGAACCTAACCGGCCCTTATGTTCTACCTGTGAACCTCACCGGCGGGTACAAAGCCACCACTGATCCGTTTGAATCCAAATCCATTGAGCTAAAAAAAGTGATGAAATGGGAGAAACTATGGCTGTCTTACCCCTCCAATCTAGCCTTGAATGGGTATGGATAGTCCAGCTTTGAAAGGGTATGGATCGTCAGCCTCACCAAATTGAAATTACGGCTTCCCTCCCCACAGGTCTCATCAAGAACAGGGACTTCCCGAAAACAAATGATATGGCTACCGGGTGTTTCACTAGCTCTCATACCGGTAATTATTTTGAAGCAGTTATCATGTACCCAGAATATCCCAGAATAACCTGCACAACTGGCCCCCATAATTTATATGGACCAGTGGATCATATCAGTGTCAGTTGTTTCACCATTGAAGCCCTGGCTGGAAATGGTTGCGGCTTCGGTGAATCACCCGTGAATTTCGTGCTGGGGGTGCTCCCCGTGTTTTTCTTCGGCGAGCTTTACGTGTGGAAGTGGTTATGACTAACATGGAAAATGGAGGTTTATAGCTGGGAAAACCATAGGAAAACCATAGGAAAATGGAGGTTATACCATCTGGTTATGACTAACATAGCCATGGAAAGATCCACCATTTTTCATAGGTCAACCTCTATTTCAATGGGCCATCGTAATAACCATGGCTAGCCCTGTTAGTCATAACCAGGTTGGGTAGATGGGTTTATAAACCTTGCTGGGCCCCCTGGGTGTATCATATCCCATTTCATCAGCCCTTTGGCGAAATTCGCCGGGATAGCTGATACAGTAGCAGCGTTCTAGGCTATAGATGGCTTTTTAGTGGTGGTTTTGCCAAGGCAAACATACTGGAAACGGAAGTTGTAAGTGTAGTATAATACATACCCTCCTTGGTAAACAGCCACATAACTATGGAAAATCACAATGTTCAATGGGTAAATCCACTATTTCTATGGCCATTTTCAATAGCTATTTTGACATAACCAGAGGGTATACAATAGAAGTGGTGCTTTCCTGGGGGTGGAGTTTTTGGAACTCAGCCTCTTATGGAGCTATTTTCTGGTTTCACGAACACAACGTGATATCTGGGTGTGTCTAAAAAATTCTTGATATACCCTCTGATAATAATGGGATAATAATGGGGTAATTAACCATTGACAATGGGATAGGGTTCATAGGGGATAAATAATGGGTTAATGGAGTATACCCTCTGGTAAACAAACATACAGGCAAAAGAGAAAGTCACGCCTAAGTCATGATGCCTACGGGGCTTCCCCCATTGTCACCGCTGTTTCCAAAAGTCACGCCTAAGTCATGCCTAAAAGGCTTTCCTGCTTGTCACCGCAATCATTCCGGCACTCATTCAATTGATGTGGTTTCAAACTGTTCTTGTGGCCAATGGTTTCGATTGAGTTGTTGAACAATGGAATTCCACATTCGCTAAGAAAAATCTCACATGTAGCTATTGAAGCCGTGGCCCAGTCGAAATAGTTGATTTACCCAGCTACAAAATGGTGGATCTTTCCATAGTTGTTTGTATGTTTACGGCAAATTTAAGCGAAATTACAGTAATCAATGGATTTAGCAACTGGTTTTTTGTACCGATCTTCAAGCCACAAACCCATTGGCACTTTTTGTTACCCTTTTGCAATCTAACTTGGCAGATGGCTCGAGTCCACCCTATAAATGGCATCATTCAAAAATGGTTTCCATTGAAAATGATGGACCCAGGTATCCCCATTGCAGGGTCTGCGGTCCAACGATCGGCCATGAGTTGGGATGAAAGGACCGGTACACTAACCATGTTCAGACACACCCAATTATCGTACCGTTGGTTATGTTAAGTTATATCTTCATTCATAACCCTGTAAAATGGGTTGATTTTACACCCCGGTGTTACTACATCTCAAGACTGTTTGTGGTAGTTGTGTGCCCCTTTGCAAAACAATTGTCAGACCCAAAAAAACACTTGTTCAGCTTAGCATGGCAGTTCCCATGTCTAGAGTTCGCATTAGTGGGCGATGGTTAGTGAATACTGGTGATCGTTTTTGTGGATTAAAACCCATGGAAAATAACTGCAGAGTTATACTTGGGGATATCTCCCCGTGATTTACCAATGGAGTACTTCCATCTAAGCAGTAACCTGTCCAAATAAATGCGACTGGTAGATAGTTCATTCCAAGACTAGTAAGACTAGTTTGCTAGTTTTTCACCAATTGAGCAGTGTTCAAAATCCTCCGTCTTCCCATTGTTGGTTGCACAATCCCCGATAAAAATATGGTAGGTTCATAACCATAGATGACTTTTTCGTATCTGGAAAAATGAATTCACGTTGGTATGGTTAATTACCCACAATCCATTCACATCCATTCACCATCATTACAGTGACGTCGCAGGGTTCGGTCATGATCAAATTTATCAAGATATAATCTGGTTGGTGGTTTCAACCCCTCCGAAAAATATGAGTTCGTCAGTTGGGATGATGACATTCCCAATATATGGAAAGTCATAACCCCAATGTTCCAAACCATCAACCAGTAATTATACTATACCCCCCATATATCTAATGAAATCCCACTTTTTGCGGGTTACATCCCATTAAAATGAGCCACAGCCCATCACTGAGGACCGTGACAGCCTTCCTCTAGCGGCTGAATGGCAAAGCCTGTATCATGCATCCGTCCGTCATAGGAATGCGGCTCCATCATGGGAAGTCATAAATGCCCATTATAATATATATATATATATGATATATGCATGTGTGTGACCCTTGGCAATAGATAGGCATACAATATCATATAATCATATAATCTAAATGCTATCATACAAATGCCTATGAACATGGATTGATGATCCTTCCTGAAGATAGGTTCTTTTTATCCAAATTTCGACCGTGGGACATCTGATGGTTGGGTTCAAGCCATCTTGAAAAAATATAAAGTTGAGAGTTGAGAATAGCTAAAAATATGAAAATAGAAAAATAACATTCACCCGGGGGAACAAGAACAAAAATAGAAGTCTTGATCTGTCTTGCGCTGGGCATTCTTACCATGTCTTAACCATTTATTAACTTGGACATTCCCAGCGCAGGAATCTGCAACAGCATCTTCCACAGCCGCTGAAAATGGCTGATCTGACAGACCATCTTTAGCCAAAAATCTGAGATTCGCAATAGCCTATGGAGTAGCCATAGCTAGCTTTCACATAGTTTTCATGTGTAAACATACCATCTGGTTATGACTAACATAGCAGAAAATCACCATTTTTTCATAGGTAAACCATCTATTTCTCTGGGCCATCTATACCATGGCTATGTTAGTCATAACCGTTATCATAACCAGAGGGTAAACCTCCATTTTCCTATGGTTTTCCTATGATTTTCCCATTGAAACCTCCATTTACTGGCTTATTTAGATTCTAAGATGCATCATGTTGCCCCTTTTTCACAATATCAACACTTCAATGAACGAGCCGCTAGACCAGGGCTGGTGCTTCCCCTAGCCTTCGAATTCACGGACATCGCCCTGTTGCAACCTTGCTTTTTGGCAGCTTGGAAAAAAGCATGTTCCATTGCAAATAGATATTTGAGCATACCACCATGCGAAAATCACATCTAATCACTGTGATCATGTACAAAAACAACCATTTTATTGGGATATGAAGTAACCAACCACATGACACTTGGGTGTGTCTGAAGATGTGCAGTTGCTGCACCCCCAAGTTATGGCAATGTAATGGGGAAAATGATGAAGATTAAGCAGTGGATGGACCGGGGCACCCTATTTCCAGACAAACCCATGTCCATATTTCAGTACATCATCTGATGATAGGATCTAGAACCATGAATGCAATTTCTTATCTATATCTGCTCCCAACTGCAAAAGAGCTATGTGTAGCTGGCACATCAGCATATCTCCGACATTTATCGCAAAAGGTACCCTCTGGTAATTTAACATAGCTATGGAAAATCACAATTTTTAATGAGAAAATCCGCTATAAATGGCCATTCTCAATAGCTATGTTAGTTTACCAGAGGGTAAGGTATTACAACTTACCACAACCAATGTGTTCGGATATTTGTGGATGTGGATTCATCATCTGTGTGCTATGATGGCGGAAACCCGTTGCGGAGTTTCCCACGTCACCGATGGTCACCGATCCCCCGAATTCGCCAAGGTTTTTTCGAAACCCATGGCTGCCAAGCATCATTCCAGATGGCTTGGTTCTAGAACTGGAGGAGCTTCATATTTTTGGATGGGTCAAAACCCTGGTACCTTTTGTTCACCCCAAGTCATAGCTGGGATTTATGGATGTTCATAACCCACTAAAAATGGTCTTTTCATAGGTATTGACCCATACCCATATGTTTGTATGTCCGAAAATAGGGCTACCCATGGCTACCCCAAACTCCGCTGATAGTCACCACTACCCGGGCATGTCCAAACCAACAGCCTCTTACCAATTTGCCAACCATTTGACAAACTTCCGAAAAGGAGCATCCGCAGCACCACAAAATTACCCTCTAGAGTTATGTCAAAATAGCTATGGGAAACTGCCCCATGAAAATAATTCTAGATGATTTAAGGTGATTCACCTATGAAAACCATGTGGTTTTCCAGTTCGCAAACCGTTATTTTTAACGGGTAACCCACCATGTTCTATCAGAGACCATCCCTGAGATCTTTTTGTGCCTCCTTCGGCTGCTGTTATGGGCGGTCTTGAGGGCTGTTAAACCCCAAATAGCCATGGAAAATCACCAGTTTTAATAGGTAAACCCAGGTAAACCATCTATAAATGGACCATTTTCCATGGCTATGTTAAATAACAAGAGGGTACTATTAAAATTGGTACCCCCGCTGTTGGTAAACTGTGCTTTGATTCTGAATGGATTAATCATGATTAATCATTCTTGTGTACCCAGTGGGAATCTAACATAGCTATGGAACATGGATTCCATGGATGGAAATCACTCATTTATAGATAGAATCTACCTCTCAAAAATGCAGATGCCACAGAAACTTTCAGCGCAGATCCCACGTCAATGAGTCAATGACCATCCCATATGGGGCCCCCAACTCCTCCACAGACAGCAGCAGCCGTCCATTTCCTTCGCTGCGCGCCCACCTGCGGTTGAGCGCAGCGAAATCATACCACCATAGCTGGTTGGATAAATATCCATATTTAAAACATGGCAATTGAAAATCCATCTATGGTTGGTATGGATATTAATCTAAAAAATGGTTCAAAACATCTCTGGTCAGCGACAAATTCATCCCAAAGGATGATGGTTTTCACGGTCGATTGATTGGCACCACTGGAAACCAAGCAGAGTGGGCAATTTCGCAGAACTTGAAACCGGCAAACAGTTGGGAATCAGAAATGAATGAGTGTCAGTAGGAAACCTTCTTCCAAAGCCATAATTCTTGCGGGTTCCATTTCGGTTTTCAGGTCGATACAGTAGCTGGCCAACATGAAAGTTCTGAATAGAGAAGAACCACGTGCGCCCAGCTTAGATCCTCAACAAACAATGTTGTCTAATTTTCCCTTCCTAATTCTTGTTACCCTCTGGTAATTTGTTACATAGCTATGGAAAATGATAACCATTTATAGATAGAATTGACCTATTAAAAATGACGATTTTCCCTCGTTTTTTGTATGTTTACCATTTCGAGTACACCATCCATCTCAGTACCATCAGTACCACCTGTCCCGAAGGACAGTAAGGGATCCAATGTCAAGGTTTTCCATCTCCACAAGGTGCCCCATTTTTTTCGGAATCGCGAAGTTGGTGAACATAACTCCAATCACTAGGGTTTTTTGGGTTTAGGATATCAATACATGAACAAGTGAATAAATAAATACATGTGTATATATGTCTGAATAAATCTGTATATATATAATCTATACTGGTTGGTGGTTTTAACCATCTTGAAAAATGATGGAGTTCGTCAATGGGAAAGATGACATCCCATATATGACATGGAAAATATAAAATTCATGTTTGAAACCACCAACCAGATATCTCATTAACCATTATTAACCACCATTAACCATCATTAACCACCATTATCCCATGATTTTCCTTGGTTTTATCTGGTTTTTTGTGGAGGTTTCCAAAAAAAAACCGGATACCATGGGATAGCCCACCATAAATCATCCATGATTTTCAAGGGATTTTCCATGAAATAAACCATCCAGTATATATTATAACTATAAATCATGTACAACTACCAGACAATGTTATTACATAACCTTCTTGGTAAACAGCCACATAACTATGGAAAATCACCACTTTTAATAGGTAAATCAACTATCAATGGGCCATTTTCCAACCAGTACAACTGGGGAAAAGGGGGGCACCACCTGCCAGGGATGTCTCAGCTCAGCTACCTTCGTCTCAGCTCAATGCTGCGGCTGCCACCTTCGCCGTGTCGAAGCGTCCGGCCCCGTTGGTCCCCGGTGGTCGATTTTCACCGTGGCTATTCGTTAAGATTGTTCAGTATTGGTGAAAAATAGTGAATCTAATAATCCATGTATTGGTTAATAGTATTGGTGTTAATCCAATAGTATTGGTTAATAGTGGTCAATATTGGTTAATAGTTACTAGTTCATATTGATTGTTCAATATTGGTTCAATACCCATGACGGATCCATGGTGCGCTTGTATATTGATGCTAAAATAAAGGGGGCTTTTGTTGATGGGATCCATGGAGCACCATATATAGCAGCACCATGGATCCGTCATGGGATAGTGAATCCAATAATCCATGTTAATCCAATAGTATTGGTTAATATTAATCCATTTTCATCCATGTAAATCAACCACGGTTCATATGAATCAATGTTTTGCTATTGGTTAATCCATGTTACTCCATGGTAATGATCCAATCAACAGTGGTTGGATTATTGGTTAAGATTGGTTAATCCATGGTAATCCATGTTAATCCAATAACTATTGTTCAGTATTGGCAAACCAATTGATGACTTCCCATCCCCATGTTGATCATGTTGGTTGATATTAGTTCATCCGGCTTGGCAGTTGGTTAGGGAAGTGGTGTGTTTTATGTTTATCAATAATAATCTGGTTGGTGGTATACCTACCCCTCTAAAAAAATTGAAAGTCAGTTGGGATGATTATCCCAATATATGGAAAGTTATAATCCATTCCATGGTTCCAAACCACCAAGCAGTATATATATATATATTCTCCCAGTAATAAACCATCCCAGTCAATGGGATGGACTATCCCATATATTATGGAAAATAAAACATGTTTGAAACCACCAACCAAATAATAGTAATCCCATGCCCCGATCATTCGATGACTACCCTCTCAATGGCTGGGCCATTGAAGAGCCGTCGTTTGGGGGATTTAACATTAGGGGAAATCGACTACATGTGAAATTATGCAACAACAGAACATGTGTGTATAATATACAGATGCATATGTATATAATCATATATAATATGTATATATATATGTATATATATATATATGTGTGTGTGTATGTGTATGTATATGTATATGTATAAAGGTGTGTGCGTGTGTAGGTGTGCATGCGCAATATATGTATATAATATAATAACTACTGCAGAAACACGTGTGGAGCAGAAGTGCTGAGCATAATGGATCCCGTTTGGCCAAGCTTAGCAGGTTTTGCGTTGCAAGCGACTGGAAAGGCTTTCCAGTGTCATCCTCAATAAGGTTCCCCAGGTTCGCTCTATTTCCTCCGTAAACATCGCCTTTTCTGTGGTCAATTACCGTTCAACCACCAATTCATGCGATGATATGAACCATGAATCACTATCTAATCATGTGATTTCTAACCACCCACTCATGAACTCATGTGATTTCGCTAGAGTAACCCCCAAAACGAGAGAACCTGGCAAAATCCCAGCCTAAACTAGAGGTCAATTTGGTGGTTATTATATTACCACCCATTTCTCTCTCACCATCGCCCACCAATTAGATAAGTCATTTTCAATATCCACATTGTAATTTCCCAAAAAAATCTCCCCCGTATATCCCATTGTACCACCATTTTTCTTGCTGAAATCCCTTCTGTTTGTTGCCAAGAATCTCATTGGAAAAACCAACCAGAAAATCCCCACGATTTTGATCCCACGAAATCCCCGTTGGAAGGTGTCCGAAAAAAACCATCCAGCTATTGGGGATCCCCCATAAATTGGAAGGAACCCCCCCAAAAAAAAAAACATCTAAAACCACATGAAAAAGCCATGTTTTCTTCCGGGTAATTTACCAATGAGTTCACTGGATCTTAACCATCGACTTTGGGGTGCCCATTTTGGCGAAGTCATCCATCGCGCCTAGCACTCGAAATCGAAGGCGCAGCACCTGCGAACGACTGCGTTCACCATGGGAAATATATACGGAACAAAAACATGATAAATGGAAATATACATATATACATATATGGAATATTTGGAAGAATGGGAAAGTTGGTTTTAATAGGTTTGAAGGGTAAAATTGAATAGAATTCATATGGAATATCTGCCTACAAAATTCTAATCAAGCATAGGGAATTCACCAATTAATGGGATAATAACGCGGTATTAACTAATATTATGAATGGATCTGGATATGCATTAATAGTACAATGGGATGCAATCGAGATAAAATGAAAACTGTTGATGATTTTCGCTGGGAAATCCCTTCAAAATGGATGTGTTGATGGGAAAATGATCGATAGAGCCAAGAATGTGACACCCAAAGTGTGGATATTATCCAAGAAAAGTGACCTCCTTTCTGAAAAATGGGAAGTCATTGGGGATCGCCATTCCACTATGGTTGAACATACCCTCTGGTAATTTAACATAGCTATTGAAAATGACCATTTATAGTGGAGTTTTCCCATTAAAAAATGGTGATTATGGAAAATCATCATCTTTAAGAACGGTAAATCAACTATCAACGGTCCATTTTCAATAGCTATTTTGACATAATCGGAGGGTATGTACAGTATATATATATATAAATATAAACTATAAACATCATCCACATGGGCCATAACTAGGATGCACAATGATTACTAAGCGCTTGTTAACTGGGACGCAACCCCAAGTATGCCGGCTAAAATGTGGATTTCACCGGGTTTAGAATGGAGGATTCACCAGCGGATTTCACAGGAATCTGAAAGCAAATACCCTCTGGTAAATATACAAAAAGCTATGGAAAATGGCCATTTATACTAGGTTTTCCCATTAAAAATGGTGATTTTCCATGGTTATGTTAGTTTCCCAGAGGGTAATGTGGTTGAAACAATGACATTTGCACCATCCCCCAGTCATCACCATAAATATATAGGTGGTTTTTCAACTTACCATTCCCAGTCATGGCGTGGTTTATAAAAAGCCATTGTTTTAACCACTAAAACCAGATCCAAATCGTCAATCGGGGTAGTGGGCTCAGGCTCTCTCGTCGCTCAGATTCCACCCGGTCTGCATCAATATTATTTTCATGTCCGTATCTCCCTAATATTGATGAAAATAATATTGATGAGACATATGAAAAACATGTTTTTTTTAACATATGAAAAATTATGGTGCCCGGAATGGATAACATACTTGCCGCTCTAATCGATAGCAAATGCATTGCTTTGGTCGAAGCACATGATATGTACAAATTCCGAGGTTGCTGATGATTCCTCCTGTCAGTTGTATCTGGATTCGAAAAGATCGGCTTGCGGCTTGGTCTACTAAGTTCCCTCAAAATTTAGTTTACATAAATCAATCTTTATAAATTAGTAAACCCATATTATTGCATCTATCTACCACCTGGTTATGACTAACATTGCCATGGAAAATCCCCATTTTTAATAGGTAAACCGTCTATAAATGGGCCATTTTCCCCATGGCTATGTAAACCCATCACTCGCCTCGTCGCGACTGGGGAGTAACCTCAGCAGCTGAGAGGTTTTTATCTTCCCAGTCGACCTAAGGGATTCAAAGAAAGAGATGTTATAGATGTTATATATAACATTATATAACTGGATCTAGAGATGTTATCCAGTTTTTCCTGATTCTCTAAGTATTGTATTATCTAAGATCTTCGCAAAACCGGATCCGGAGACGGTGGTTTTTCCCCCTGCGGAAACTTTTTTTAATGATCAACATAGACCAATACAAGCATGAAATCTGGTTTTTCTAAACGAGTAGCAATCATTCTTGGGAGATTGCTGCGACCAAGTGGCCAAACCGGAAAAGTCCTTTATGTGAAGGGAAATCCCACCATTTACATTCGTTGATCATCGGGCTTTAATATGTGCAATATTGACAAAACCATCATTCAATATCATTCATTGATAGGATCTTTATCATTGACTAATTGACCATGATTAATTACCGGGTCTTATATTGATTTTAATCAGTTTTATTCATTCAATGTCATTCGCAATATCAATGATTCGTATGTATAGCCACTTATAGTCATGCATTCATGTATAGTAATGGATACCGTAAATTAGTTCCCATCAATTGCCTTTCTACTTATGCTCATGTTTATCTTCCATAGCTTCCCTTGCAGGTTCCGATTGATTGGACACTGTGAAGGCTAAATGTCTACTGATAACCACATTCTTTCAATAGACCATCTATACAAATTATAAATGTAACTTCTTTCCATGTGGATTTGAAAATTATGTTTATCAACAAATTTTAAGTAGAATTACATGTGCCATGGTCAACATATGCACGCTGTGCCGCTGTGCATTCTACATGTAGTTTGATGACACAGATGTTTTAATGGTTGAATCCAACGTTTTATCATCAGAAATCATCGCCACAACTGTTCCCTGAACTGTCCACAATTTGGCTTGAAATCTTTGCCGTTTGCTGGTCAAACAAAAACAGCACCAGATGTGTGCTGGTGATGTGCAAATCCCAGCAGGGAGCTGCATCTCAACTGTTCACCATCTCAACTGTTCTCCAGCGATGGTGAAAAGTTGAGATGGGATCCCTATTGCCCTAGGGAAGGTCGACCTTCATATAATTCTTAACCTGGTTGGTGGTTGACCTACCCCTCTGCAAAATATGAGTTCGTCAGTTGGGATGATGACATTCCCAACTGAATGGAAAGTCATAAAATTCGTGGTCCAAAGGCACCAATTATCACTAATCATCATCATCATCAAAAATCATCAATCACTATGATTATTATGAACCATATAGTGATATGGTTAATCACCATTTTCAATGGGTAAATCAACCAAAAAAATCACCATGTTCAACAGCAAACTGTTAGTTTACCATATAAACCAAAGCAAACTGTTAGGTTTTAACAATTGTTCAATCAACTCTTAGTTTAATCACCATTTTTCAATGGGTAACCAGAATAACCAAATATAAATCAGTATCAACCACCATTAACCACTATTAACCACCATTAACCACCATTAACCACTACTAATCACCATGTTCCTATGGTTTTCCTATGGTTTTCCTATGGTTTCCCCATTAAAACTATCATCCCTCTCTATTTTTCCATGACTTCCTCGGGATCCTCCGATCTCAAGGCGACAACGACGCCTACGCCTGAGCTGCCTGGGACTTTGGGATCCCCGGGATCCCCGGCGACAGCGCTTGCGCATGCAAGTGCTGAGGCTGCCACTCCTGGCACGGTGATGTGTGTGTATTACTAAAGCCATATTAATCATTAAACCATATAAAACTATATGACATGGTATTTTGCCATTATTATGCTAATATTATCTACTATTTTTGACAAATAGTCATATATATATGTGTGTGTGTAGATATAAATGAATGAAGAAATGAATTAAGCAAATTAATAAATAATAAATAATAAATTATGTGTATATATAAATATATATTAAGGCATTGGCTCCACGCCCACATTCGTGCCCGTGGGTTAGGGTAGCAGTTTGGTCGCCTGGTGCCATTGCCTTAGCGGGCTTCGTCCATTGCCCGCGGGTTCTACAAGGTTTTCGTCACCGTCGACAAGCCTCTCTTGCCTTGTGAGTTAAGGGTTAGCTCACATTAATTTCAAAACCCTGTCTATTGCATTTGCATTGATTTCTGGTCTACTTTCGGATTTTGCGATCTACAATTTTGGTATCGCGTTACTGGAACTTCACCTGGATCTTTGGCTGCTTTCTTGGTTTCTGCAGGTGTACCTAACACCTGGTTGCTACAACAAATTTTGCTTGGGCCTCGACAGCCACTTACAATTTTATTTGTATTGGCACTTCGTCCCCATCAATTTTTGTGCTTCACTGGCTTCTGCGGTGTGCCTAACACCTAACATTTCTCTCACATTTGATTTTTCTGGAACTGCACCGTGAGGAGGTTCCTACATTTCAATTTGGTTAATTTTTCTGCCTTGTGGAACTGACACTGAACTGGACGTGCCCTGGTGTTATTTCTCTTGGCCAATACAATACATTTATGTGCTCAATTTTGCTGGTCTTATTGATTTTGGTTGTGATCTTCGTGAACTTGCAAGATTACTCTCCTCAGTGGCACACAGAGGAGGAGGCAGCGCAGAAAACGCGCTGCCGCACGGGCTGCTTGGCATCTACACAGAACTGGGAAAGTTCCACTGTCCAAGCAGGCACTTTTGTGCATCAAGTGTACGCTCGCAAGGCATCACAGTCGAGACTCCAATTTCATCCAGACCATCCAGAAGCACCTCAACATGGATTCATCCAATCTATATCCATGGAAATGCTCTCATGGCCAGAGAATCAACAAGAAGGTTGCGACACAGTGCGTGGTTTGTCACGCACATTGGACATCAGGCAACCGCCACAACACAGAGCCAAAGCAGCCGACCTACAAGGCCACTGCATATCGGGATGCATGGCCCGCACAGCAGAGATTCGACTGGGAACAATGGGAGGAATGGGAAGCAACAGATCGCTCCTGGCAGTGGCCACAAGACAGGTCACAAAGCAGATCGCAAAGCCCACGAACAACCAAGGACTCCCAAAGCCCCCGAGGCCGCAAAGGCAAGGGTGCTGGAAAAGGGAAGGGAAAAAACAAAAAGGGCAAAGGTGGTGGCGAGCAGAAAGGGACAAGCGATGTCAGCCAGTCTCCCTTCGCACCACTTGCACCTACCATGCCTACCTGGCCTACCGGCGACAGCGCCTCCACGGGTGTAACGCCCTTTTCAGCCGCTGCCTCAGGTTCCAACAATGCGGACATACTTGCTCAGAAGAAGGAGTGTGTAACTGCTTTGAAACAGGCCTACCCCGAGGGCAACAACATCCCTTCGGATACAAAGGAATTGATCGACAAGATCGAGAAAGAGATAGAAAAACTCGAGAAGGAAAACAGCAAATTGGTGACCAAAAACATTCACTCAGCAACCAAGTCATTGGGCAAGGCCCAAAAGACATTGCAGGAGACCATGGATGCGAGAAAGTCACACCGTGCCAGATGGATCAAACACATCACCGAAGCAGCATCGACGTGGCAGGCACAACTGTTGGAGTATCAAAAACAACAGGCAGCTTTTCAAGAAGTTGCAGTGAAGGCCAAGTCCGATATCGAAGCTGCCAGAACAGCTATTCAAGCTCTGTCGTCGACTGCATCTCAAGCTCAGTTGGCAGCCATGCCACCAATCACACCGATCTCGGTGGAACAGGAGGAAGGTGGTGGAGAAGCCGACTCCGAGGAGGTGAATCTACAGGGTCAATTGCTGACTGTTCTACAGAATTGCGCAGCCGCCCTGAATGTCGAGCAGTTGCCAGAAGCCCAGGAGGCAGAGGATCTCACCATGGAAGAGGACGAACGGGACAAAAAAAGGCCCCGTTCTATGCAACCATTTGGTGGGTCTGGAACTGGTGGTGGAGCAGTCAAGGACTGAGAGATGGCGGTGCTTCGTTAGTGCGTAGCCATGACGTGCATGACGCCTGGCCTGTAGCTGACATGGTTGAGGCCTATGCATCCGTGCCGGTGATGCATGCAGCAAGCCAGTATCAGCTCACTGATTTTGACATCCACAGGTTTTCCCACTGGCAACACTCCATTCAATTTGAATACAATTACCTCAATCCTTTTGATGCAGTTTTTTCCGCTTGGAAACTTGGTTGGAGTATCATATGCGACTCATTTGATGAATTCATTGAAGCTGCCAACTGTGAACTGCCTTCCAAGACCATGCCAAACAGTGATCAATTGGGTTTTGTTTCGAGTGAGATCTCCAATCATCATCAAACTGGACACACACACAACATGCCGATGTGTTAGAGCTCCGAACCATTGGAAATTCGTGCATGCTCCACAGTTGTTCGCGTCCTTGCATCCGATCCGATCCATCAGAAAAACATGTGTTAGAGCTCCGAACGGAAAATTCGTGCATGCTCCACAGTTGTTTGCGTCCCTGCATCCGATCCAGTCCATCAGAAAAACATTTGTCCTCTAGGAAAGTTGGATTCCATGAACATGTTTCCATCTATGTTGGACTGGAAGACGAAATTGCAATGTTCTCCACGACAATGGATACGTTTGAGCTGACCGCCTGGACCGAAAAGCCATGGTCCAGACGACCCCCGAAAACGGATAAGGGTCTCCAGGACAGCCATTCAAAGGTTTCATTTCCTCATGAACGTAGGTTGCGCACTAGTAACCCATCATGCCTCAGAACGACGGACCAATACCATAATGTTCCTTCAACATGGTACAATACCAATCAGCCTCAACCGGATGAACATGATGATCCTGAAGATGCCAATCATTTTCTGCATGAAGCGCCCCAGTCCCTGCAGAATTTGTATGATGCCTTGTTTGCTGAGGGAGAAGTAACTGGACCTCGCATTCATGAGAGTGTCTTCCTGCGTGCTTGGTTTGTCCATCATTTGCATGCTCTGCAGTGTTTCCAATTTCGGGTTGTTGAAATCAATGGTCACTGGCGACACTGGTTCAATGACATCATTTCTGCCTGGAGAGATCGCATCCTTCCGTTAGAACAGGTCATTTTTGATATTGTCAGGCCAAATCCTCCTCGTACTGGAGTTGCCCAGGACATCTTATTTGACATTATTCTTTCACAAGGATTAGATGCTCCGCGACGGGCAGGATTAGTGTCCATCTGCAAAAAGGATGATCCTGCACAGAGGGTTGCATATTCAGTTGCTGTATCGCTATCTGAAATCACAAGTGGGCATCAGATCATTCAGCAAGCGGAATATCTCCATGAGTGCAATCTGAACACATGTTCAATTCGTAACGGCTGGAATCGGATCCCTTTCACACTTGAGCCTGTTCATGAAATGCAAGATGGGGATTCCTTCATCGTTGTTGTGCGAAGTGCTTCTTCAAGCTCCACTGCAGCTCCAGCCACGGCATTGCCCTCTGCATCGGCTGTCTCACATCCATCCACTGAGCATTCGCCTGTGCACCCGAATGATGTGAATGCACCAGATCGTGAGGATGTTATCCGTGATCAGCCAGATTCACCATATCCTTCACCAAGCTCGACTGGTCCTGATGAACATGTAACTCATGCAACCATTCACAGGCTGGGGCATGTTCAAATCACAGGCCTAGTCAGAAGCCGCACGCACCTTCAAATGCTACAGGATGCAGCCAGGATTGTTGGAGTACCATCTGACCATTTCATTGCTTTTCATCGGTTGCAATGTCTTCCTGATGATCAAGTGCCCGGAGTTGAATCTATTATTCTTCAACACTACCTGGACATTCCACCTGGGTCGACAGAGAAGCTTGTCCTCATCGACATCGAGATGCATCACCAGCATAGTGGTGGGACTCATCCGAGTGCGCCTCCAGTATCCAGACAGATCCACAGAATCCTGCCCACTGTGGTCAGACAGTACCTGCTCCAAGTCACGCGTACGGATGCCTATTGTGAATGGCACCAGACAGACTGCTTGATTTACCGCAACCGTATTCTTTGGAATCAACAAGAGCGAGGTCCGCTTCGAACAGAGCATGGCATGTACGTCAGGATCGTCTTCCCTCCACCCTCTGATGCCACCTGGGACGTAGGACGAGCCATCCGCATCTTTCACGATGCCGCGAATGTTTTTGAATCTCCTATTGCTGGACGTGTTGCGGAAGAGATCATGCAATCTGGAGAAGAAATTTCTAGTCCCTCTAGACAACAAGTTCGCGATGATAGCAGGACCAATGGGCACACTGTCTCATTCAAGCAGGCTGATCTCGAAGGTGATATCGACGTACCGATGACATCAGTACGCAGACGACCAGAAAGACCTCCACGACCTGCCCATGATGGAGATGAATCCTGGTTTTGGGAATTTGGACAGATATTTTCCCAGCACGCACGAGAGGAAGCATTTGAGGGTGAATATTTCCTCTACGTTCAGTCGTGGTACATTGATCATCTCAGGAGAACAGTTTGTCGACAGCCCAGGCCAATTCGTCTTGATCATTACTGGATCACATGGCTTGACGACTTTACGCACACTTGGAGGGATGAAATGGTTCAGAATGTTCCTTATTCAGTGCACATCATCAAGCCACGACCGCCGCAATACCGTCATTATGGGTATGCTTGCCATATTCTTCTGGAACAAAATAGAGCACCTGGACAGGCAGCTGGTGTCCTTACTGCTCTCTTGGCAGGTTACACGAATGACGGCATTATCCAAGGCGCATTCTCT